TAAGAGTGACAGAACGTTGCATGCTAGGATGATGTCGACACCAAAACAAAGCGGAGACTCACCTCTTACATCAGAAAGAATCTGCACGTTTCGAGCGTTATCCGTTCTTTCATAATCCGTTGTTGAATTGTGAGGAAGCTTTTCCGGTTCGCACCTCACATTTTTTCCCCCCTGTGTCCTGTCTGGCTGTGAAGCCAACAAACTTGATGTCTGAATGTTGGTAACAAGCCTTACAGATTTATTCTCAGGTGGAGCATCAAAGCGTCTGCTTTTAATGTCACGCCTGATACTTAAAACTTTATTGTTATTGTTTTTTGAATGCTTTGTAATTCCGACCAGACACGGAGACAGAGGTGAAAGAGAAAGGAAGAGACAAGGGGGGCGGGGGGATCCACAAAAAATATCAATCAATGATGAACAAGTCTGCTTCTAGACCTGCAGAAAAGGGACACACAACAATACAACAGGAGCAAACAATCACTGCGTCAACCTGATGAGGAAATATCAAATCAACATTGTTTAACTGAACACAATAATAAATCACAGTGCATTTAGTGCCAACCACAGCCTTAAGACCTGTGTTGAACGTGCCCAAGTCCATACTTATGAGAGCACCATGTGAGCACCTGTGTGTGTACACGTGCTTGTAAATGTAAGGTTTCTCTATAGGAGCAAAGTTGTATAGGAGATGGAAGGAGCTAGAAGTCTCAGAGATCCAGGAGCTGCCCCAGAGCGCAGGGACCCCAGGGAGACTAAGACCAAAAAGCCCCAGCCCCCCTCGAGAGGCACAGAGGATTGCCCCAGGGTTCCACAACCAGCAGCCGGCAGAGTCCCGGGAGACATCAGCGGCAAGCCCACAGGCCCGCCCGCAGCCTCCCACCCCCTAGCCGGCCAAGCCCGGGACCCAGCAACCCGGAACCCAGGGATGACCACCCCCGCAGGGGACCCAGATCCTACCAGGCAGCCACCAGGATTGATCAGGCAGATGCCAAAAACCTTAAACCCCCCTGACCCGGGAGCCACGAATACTCAGGCAGACCAAAGCCCTTTTCAGACAGACATTCTGGAACTTTTGTGGACAATTCAATCAGGTTTTTAACCGGAACTGTGTTTTCAGACACACCATTTTGTACCGGAACTTGTCCTTTTGGCTGCGTTCACACAGCAGGGAAAAGTTCCAGATGTGTGACGGCGGCGGGGGCTGGGGGTGGGGGGGAGAATCGGACTCATGTTAAGAAGAAGAAGAAGAAGAAAATATAATTTCTACAGCGCCTCTCAAGATAAAAATCACGAGGCGCTTAAGCATAATTCTGCGCACACAAAGACGCATCAGAGACCTGGATGATGAAGCTGAATGGTTAAAGGAATCACTGAAGCGGTGTGAAGCACTACGTCGCGCGTCTAGGCGGTACCGTAGGAGGCGAGCTGCCGTGGTTCGCCGCATGCTACAGGAGCGAGCTATCTAGGTGCACACAGCGTCCCCCGGTCCCCTCCTCCTCCCCGTCTCCCTTGTCCGGAACTTTACCTCACCAGTCTGAAGCAGCCACCCTGTCCGTAACAAGTCCGGACCTGTTACTAGGGGCTTCGTCCGGATAAATTCCGGAACACGTTATCCGGATGTTTGTATTCAGACACAAAGGTCTTACGGACAGAGTTCGGAACATTTCCGTTTTTCATGGCCTGTCTGAATGGGGCTCAAGGCACCACACCCCACACCAGGTGTGGCAGGGGGAGGGGAGGCGAAGATCTATAACATCAAAAGAAGTCCCAGGAGAGGGGAGGAGTCAAAGGCCCCACCTGACATATACAGTCATACACAAACACAGTCACACACTCCCTCCCTCATGCTCACACATACACATACAACCAAAGACTTACAAAAATGCACGCCGGACACCCACTCATGCGCCCCATACACACCCTATTCACTCTGGTCCCGGTACTGCTGCAGATTGGGTACAACCATCACCGGTTACCAGAGTTTGACCCTTTCTGCTGGGGTGCTGATGAGCAGGCTCACTTTTTTTACAGAGCTGCCCAAAATGATCTCCTAACACATGGATTTTCTGCTTCCTGATCACGTGACGTGTGACTTATGCGGATGAAGATCGGCTTTAGAGCTGGGGTGTTTGTTCTCACAGTGCGGGGGCTCGTCCGACGCCCACACAGTGAAAACAAGGACAACTTTAGTCATCATTGGCGGTGAATGAGTTAATCTGGCTGAATGCTTGGTGTATGTATATTCACGTCATTTCGTTCAGTGGCCATGTAAACAGCGATTTGGGATTTCTGATCCAGCAATATTTTGAATTGATAGGGTAAACAAGGCTACTCACTATGTTGAGAATTGTTCTGAAAATGGACACTGGGAATTCAGCGTTCCTTGTATCCATGTCCTTAAGCCATAATCATAAGATGCAATACCAGATGTAATGGTTAAAATCCAAACATGGAATACAAAAAAGTGTAAGCATGGAAACTATTTTACCTCAAACTCAAATAAGATGGAGGTGGGAATGTAGAAGATCAGCACCCATTTCTAACCTTCCAGATAAAGTCTTGGTTAATTCTGCCAAGTTACATCAGCATGAAGACAGAAAATCAGAAAGAAATAACATCAGGCTGTTGTTACTTTTACATAAACATTGATAAAAAGAGATGACATAGAATTAAAATGTTTAATTTCATTTTTGTCCTGATCCCCCGTCACTCAGCTCATCTAGCCCACATTAGGTTCACTACAGACACGCTAGTGCAAAGACACCTGGTGATGTGAAATGATCTAAAGTGTCAAAAACAACGTCTGATGTCTGAAGAGATTTTGAGGCTGAATCTTTTACTCAAGAGTTGACGGTTCCTGTCGTCACAACCAGTTTTCAGTCCTTAAATCATACCTTCCAAATACGGATCACCAGTAGGCTGGGAAACGCTGCTCTAGACTAAGAACATGTGTGTTGGCAGATTTACACAAAGGATTTGGAATGGTACAAGGCCAACAGCAGCTATTCTACTCTCACAGTAAGAACGCTGAAGAACGACTTGGGGATAAACCTGGTAGCAGCTAAAAGCCATGTTTAGAACAATCTGACCCTTTTTTATACAGCTCAAACATGGATGAAGACAACACAATGTAATAACTTTCCCCTATCCAATCCATACTTCATGATTATCTCTTACACCAAAACACTGGAAAAAATGGAACTGTCAAAAGAGTCTTGTTGTTCCATTTTCTTTCCCTTGGCCCCTCTGCTGGAGACAAACAAACAAACGCCTGTTAGCACATTTCATCAGCTTTGGGGGTTACAGAACAGATTGAGTATCGACAGCGGTGGCTGTCGAGGCTTATGGCTCAAAGGCAACCTTAGAGGAAAATCTCGAGTAGCAGATGCAATCGAAAGGACCAAAATAATTCAGCAGGACTCACTGGAGGAACAATCCAGTTTGTCATGTGGAATCACGGAGTGTCTGCTGCACAATGAGAGGCGGTCTCCAGAGACCCTGCTCTGGAGTCAGAGTGTGAATAGCCCAGAGTTAGTGCCTCAACTGACCACTCTTTGCCTTTTTATTACCTGCAAATTTAGCAGCCATAAATCCGTTTCCACACCAGTACTGCTACGGAGACGCGCGGGAGAGACCCATAAACAAGAAATGATGTTCTGTGTCTTGGGACGGTTGGATCACTGATGTTTCCTGGTGTGTCATGCTCTATTCTGGGAACAGTATGTGTCAGTGAGTTTTGATGTTTCCCTCACCAGTAATGGATGGTTGCGGCTGCTTGTAATACTTGATCCAAGTTGATCTGCAATGCCAAATGTCAAATGACCTCAGCCACTGTCCACAGATGGGTGGAGCCGCTTTTCCTCTCAGCAGGTTTGAGTAATTTCATGGCTACCCATCAATTAATCTTTGGAGAGAAAAGACCCTTGACCATTTTAAAAGAATGCTGGCCATTGACTTCAGTGTGAGGAGACTTTCTGCAGCACCACAGCATGACCCCGGTTTCACACTCAGTGGAAGGGAATGGCAGCGAAGCGGCACCGATTCAAATAGAATCCAGTTATAATCTATGGAGTGTTTCAAACCAGCTGCCACGCGGCAATTTTCAGGCGCGTCCCAGAAGCGGCATGCTGCACCGCGCCGCGCCGCTAAAGATAGGATCAAGTTCTATTTTTTCCGCGAGCCGCTTCTGGGACACACCAATTTCCGCAGTTCACATAGTGCGAGACAGGAAACCACACACGGTTTCAGTGTAAAATCCCCGGTTATTTTCAAAATAAAATGCAACGTTGTTAAGCTATACATAACTTACGTCAGCACGTGTGACCGAACGGCTTTGCTTACAACCAGTTTCTTTCGAGAAGTGCAACGGTGTGATTCCTCGCGGGGGTTGTGATCTCTCGATGAGGAAGGATGGCGGAAATCTCGAAGGAATTCGTTGTCTCGCGAGGAAGGTGTCGGAAGTCTCGAAGGATTTTAGAATCTCGCGAGTACATCGAGGTGCAGCGAGGAAGCCATGCCGCGGCCAAGACTCTCCCGGTGTGAAAAGGACCGCTTTGAAGTTCGTGAGCCGCTCCGCTGCTGTTCTGTTCCGCTGATGTGAAACCGGAGTCTGGCAAACCTCTGATTAATTGCTGGGCCACCTGCGCCTTGTTAAAAGATGATGACCAGCAGCACCAACTGCTCCTGATATTGTTTCTTCTTTTAAACCTCCACAAGACAAGAGCTGAATCTCCATTTCCCTTTAATCAATTCACACTTTATACCCCTCCCTCTTCCAATCTCCCTTCCATTTATTATGCATTATTCACCCTTTTTAAACTATTCACTACTAACCGTCTTATCTAATTTGGTATTCGGATACGGTTTGTGCCGTTGGCTCAATTAATACAATGACATGTCCTCCGCAATCCAAGTTACATAAAGACACCTAGTGCTGCATACATTTGCACAAATCCATACCTTAGCAAGCTATGTGAAAAAATAACAAAAGACAAGTCAGGTTTAATCTTCTACAGGACTGTGCTTTATTTTAGTCTAAGCAGAATATAATGAACTAGAGATCTACAGAGTTCAGGATCACTATGGGAGATATCATCCCGCATCAGAGAAACGGCCCCGGCCAACGGTAGTTCAAATTACATCTCTGTTTCAAACAAAAAGACATAAAACAGTAAATCATCTTTTATCCAAGTCAAATCGTAAAGGACAAAAATATTTCATTGTGAACTGAATCACCAAAATATATCATGATAAACAACATCTGAATGACATCAAATAAACTGACTTTAGTGAAGCTGGGAATGGAAAGACTGGCGATACAAAGATTACACTTTAAAGGTTCTCAATGGATGCTTGATTGAAGCAAACTGCTCAGCTTGCTGAGTTTGTTTACATTTTGGTCCTTGTAACCAGTGAAAACGAAGGTCAGCGACCACATCCATGTTTGTGTCTGAACGGGCTCGAAATGGGCTAAAAACTGATCCGGCTTGGTGTTAAAGAAGATTTGGCATCCCCAGAATACATTGTCTGAGCACTGTTCAGGTAGTGCTGTCAAAGAGAACAGACTGGGCTTAAGGCAGAGATCTCCACTCCTTTTACAAACCGACCTGACTGGAGCAAAGCAAATGTCCCGTGATCTACTGGTGGCACAGTGTCTTCAGTGGATCAAACATTCCCTAGGCAGGAGCAGAGCGTGTGAACCTCACATGTGTCTATGGTGATGGAAAATAACCCTGAAAAATAATATATCACAAAGCAAACATAAAGAGGAGAATGTTACAGGGGCACCAACCATGAAAATACAACAATACTCAATAAGATGTGATGGCATCGGCCCCCAAAACAACACAACGGTAAAGTTTGGTATTTTTGTCTCTGTTCCCTTTTTGTTGTAGTTTCAGACACAATTTTGCCCTCAAAACAACAGAAGGCCTCATTTATGATATTTTTTTCTTTTGAACAGTGCTGATCCATTTGAACTCAGTTGTGCACTGAACTTTTTTTATTTATTTTTATCCACAGACCAGGTCCATCAATCAACCTTTTACAGTGCAGTTTGCTAATTCTCCTATCGATTTCACAGCTTTCACTGAGAAAAATCTCTTTGAACATCCACAGGGACTGTTACAGCGGGATTGTGCAGCCAAAATAACGAAATAAATAAATAAGAATGGAAAAAGGTTGTCAAAGGATATCCGACTAAACCTTGTGACAACGGGTTTACCCAGCTTCAGCCAATGAAAATACAACAGAGAGAAAAATAAAGAACCAGTTCCCAGCACGAGTTTAATTATCCACGTCTGAACACGAGTGCATCACTACACAAGAAATAAAACCATTTTATCTTCAGTTCTTGATAAATTATTTCAAAGGTTCTTTCTCTTAGTTGTACTGAAATAAATGACCTATTTTATTTTTCTTTGTTACGTTTGAACATGATCTAATGTTTGACTTTTAAAGAATGTTAAACATAATTGAAAAATAGGCTATTTTATATGTACAGGTACAATGCAGCTGTTAGGAGAGCTGTGGCGGCGGGCTGGGTCAAGCACTTAGAGGGTTCTGTTGGACTCCCCCGTGTTCTGTCCCCAGCCTAACCATGTTTGTAGCATTTCAACTTATCCATCAAATGCTTGGTTCCAGCCCGGTTTGTGTACACGCTAACACGTGGTCACCTTGAGTTTCGTCGTGTAAAATGTCCTTCAGTGAGCACCGAAAGCCTGAACTGTTACTTCAGAGGAAGTTTGAGAACGAAGAAAGTGCTGATGCTCTTATGAGCCCAACCGTCACCGTCATATCTGTTCATCAGCTCCAACCGGACTAATCCAGTTACTGCACTCCTGTCTTAGAAAACATGACATGTCGGTGTACACAGAACCGTAATAAACGGATCGCTTGCTTGGACGCCGTGGCTTAGGTCTGACACTGAGTCAGATACTTTCCGAGCCTTGGTCCGATGCTTAGGGCTGTAGGGTGCATGCGCACAGTCCAAACCTAATGGGCTTAAGAGGACTTCAACCCTCCTGAATCCCTGCACTGCTGTGGAAACATTTTATAGTGACATCATTGTCCCACAGAGTCGAGTTTCTCGGCACACGTTGCTTTAGAACCTTACCTCTTTTTATTTTTGTATTTTAAAGGCTATTTACATTAAGAAGTCTTATAAAATCACTTTCGTATCAGCAAGGTTGTTTGCACACCTTCAGTTGTCAGCTGACTGTTGGCATCTGTAGTTGTTGGTACTCTTGAATTGGATGACGACAGTTTGAGTCATAACTCCGATTTAGATAGTTTAGCAGCCTCTCTACTTAAGCAGCAACTCTCTGGTGAGCATGCAACCGCTCTTCCTGCTGCTGCAGTCTAAACCTGCTCAGGATCAGGGCTGAGGCGAGGCTCTGAACCTCTTCACTAATCGTGACATCATCGTGCCTGATGCCCTGAGTCTTGGGAGTGATTTTGTGGAGTGTCAGTTGAGCACACAGCACCGCCACCACCCAGCGCCCGTTTCTACCGTTCCCAATCACCACCTTTATTTTTTTTTTCAGTTAAAAATTCCATTTCCAGAGCAAAACCCTTTTCTGCGTCAAAAAGAGATGACGGAACAGCTCTCTCCCAAAGCAGCTATTAAATGAGGGGAATTAATTTCTTCCCTCCTGTCCAACAGGTTCCTTTAATTATCTCTCCACTTTCAGTCAATTACATTTCACTTCCTTTCCTTGACAATCACTGCTATTTCAGGGTGAGTGTTATGCACCCAGTGGATTGGATATGCATGCTCCAGCAGGCTTTTGCTCCGTCCTGCCATTGGCTAGAACCCTCCAAGGATTTGTGCAACTCTTCATGACAAGCTGAGTGAGCACAGTGGCAGCTGAAATAGATGCAATTCGTATACAACCCTTCTATTTTTGAAGTCGGGGCATGCCATAGCTTAGGAGCTAGTCTTAGAAATTATCATTAAAAACAATTCATTTTGGGTGCCTAGATGCACCGCTCGTTTTACCACAGACAGAGATGGCAAACTATACAGTACCGTGCACATTTATTCCTTCAGGCTAAGAGCGTCAAATTACAGCCTCATTAGTCATCATCACACACTGGTGAAGATCATCTAAGTTCATCACCTTAAACTTTAGGGTTCATAACATTTCCTAGTTTGGTATCTTTTTGGCGAGTCCCTCCGCGTTGACTTTTCTTAGTGGTCACAATGTTTGAACATAGCATGGGCTAACAACCAGACTGGATTCAGGCTAAAAGCTAAGCAGGCCAACAAACATTAAACATAAATGTAGGGATGGTACCTTTGACATTTGAATCGATCCGATACTAATTTCCGGTACCTAGGAATCGATACCGGTACTTAACGGTACCAATTTTTGATACTTTTGAGTGTTTAATATTTTAATTCCCTTTTATAATTAAATAAGCATTTTTCTCAATATATAACCATATTTGATAAATATCACGATAAATAACATACAACTGTTTGTATTTTAACATGGTCCTTGTAGTTTTATAAGCTGATAATTAAACTGAAGCAAACATCTTTACTGTGAACTAAATTTACTGTGTATCTTCATTCCTTTTGCCGTCTTTTTTCATTTGATTTGTTCTACTGGGAAGTTAGAATTTCCGAGGAGAAAGTGAATGCACCATTAGCTGATAACAATGGTGGCAATGGAAGCTAACATATCAAGCTAACGTTATCTTAAACAGTTTATTTAGCTGCTGGAGCAGATTAAAACGATGATGCCTCACACTTAGATCGTTGTCGCTGGTTTCATCTTCACCCAATCACCCGTCGCATTTAGTAAAGTGAAGCCAAACTTTAGAGCGCGTTCATGTTCTAGTCGGAAATTCGGAGTTGCGAGGAGAAAGCGAACGCACCATTAGCGGAACGGAAGCTAACATATCAAGCTAACGTTATCTTAAACATTTTATTTACCTACCAGAGCAGATTAAGATGAGGATGTCTCACTTAGATCGTTGTCGCTGGTTTCATCATCACCCAGTTACCCATCACATTTAGTGAAGTGGACCCAAGCTTTAGCGTGCGTTCTTTCTACCATGCTGCTCTGTTTACAACTGGCTCGCAGCGACCGATGACATAACACTCTTGTGAATGTGCAGCTGTCTAGGCAAGTTCTCGTTATGAAGGACGGGTACCGAAACGAGGCACCGTTACAAATGACGTGAATCGGTGCTCAGTCGGTACTGTGGAATTCGGCCGGTACCTTAAAAAGTACTGAATTTGGTACCCATCGCTACATAAATGTAAGAAGAAAGTTGGCTTCTAAACATAATTTATCCTTTTTTTCCTCCCAGTTCCATTTCCAGTTACAAAGATACACACTTTTGGTGCTCCACATCTCAGTGTCACTCTTCCAAGGGTGAAAAGCTCGTTTCAGGGCCCTTGATAAAAGTGTTCAAGTGCTGGTTTCTCATTGTCTAATTTAGCCCTGGCATAGCAGGTATGCTACATGAACGCTGCACCATTAGCCAAGTTAGACAGCAGGAGACTGGGCTAGGCTGGGTTTTGGCTCACTAGGGACTCAACCTGCTATTAGAGGGAACAGTACAACATCTGATAAGAGACTGGGAAGTTCAGTGGAGCATGCATCCAAGATCCGTGTTGCTGTATGAGATTAAGAGGTTGCCAAGACAAACATGGAACATCTAATTGCTTGTGGAACATTTGAACACCTTTTGAGAGTTCTGCTTCAAATCAATAAACACTTCTTGTTTAGGGAACATGACATTTTTATGAGCCCCTTCATGGGTTTTCCAACATGTTTAATCAAATGCAGAAGAACGAAATGGCATGGTGCTGCCAACGTCACGTTTAACCTGAAGAGCTGTGCTGCTGAATATCTTTCTAAAGCTGAACATAACTGTGCTTTGGATCTATCCTAGCAGGGGAACGCTGGAGCAAAAGAAAGAAGTTTTAGCAAGTCGTTTTGTAAAACAGGCTGACTTCTGTGGTCGACTGCTGAGATGCAATTTTCATGTTTCAGATCAAAAGAATTACAATAACAGCTGCTGCTGCTGCAGGATCGAGTGTTTCCCGTGCAAAAGTGTTGGTTTTGACCCAGTTTTAAGCTAAAGTTGTGGTAAAGAAAAGGCAAAGGACTATTTGTGGTCCTTTCTTTTTTAGTTTCCGGTATAATCCGCCTGTTCTGCAGTTTTAACTCCCTGTTAGAGAAGGGAAGGTCCTTTTCCACGTCCCCCGTCAACTCTTCGGGTAAATTTGGTTGTATTATTGGCGCCAGGTCAGCTGTCAGCAGCCTTGCCAGGGAGTAGGCACAAACATAATTCTCCCTAATCTTCCTTCTGTCATCCATGTGCAAGCCGGGGACAATTTCTCCCGTCATTCGGTCCAAGTGATTATCCCGGTGATTTTTCACTTGGTTGCTGCTAATGTATAGAGGTCGATGATTACAGTGTGATTAGGGAAAGGTGAAATAGCATGTCTGATATGGCGCTGGAGATAATTGAAGGGTAGTAAGCTCAAGCATTAGCCAGGTTCAAAAATGTGGTGGGGGTGGAGTGGGGGGCTGTGGTTTGGAAAGTCATGGCTGCCATTAGGACAGCATGCTGTTGTCTAAAATAAGGGCCTTCCACTCATTTAAGCGACAGAGGCAGTGCAGAACGAAAACGTGGAACATTTGATTGGGTTTTGATTCTGTGGGATTTCAAACTGATCTGAATTTCAATAAAAAAGAGGAAAGGTCTGGCAAAAAGGAGACTGTATCATCTGGCTGGTCCCAAACGCTCATGTTTGGTCCCTATTAACCCTTAAGTCTGGTTCTATGATGGGCTATGACACAAATCCATAACGTTGTCACCAGGGGCTTGACTATAGCTTCTAAATATATCTGTGAAATTATTTAGCAGCAACCTAGAAGCGTCATTTGAGATGATCTCAACGAGAAGAGCTGTTGACTTCCTCTCTTTTCCTCTCGCTCCTTTGTGCCATGCCTTGCCTCTAAATGCCAGCTGTCAGTGCTCAGAGGGGTTGGTGTACGGAGGCGAGCTTGCGCTCTTGCAGAGAAAATTGGGAAGTGCTCACAGTGACTGAAAACACCATGGTTCCTCCCTGAAGACCGACTCCAAACATATTGATCCCGTTTTAGGGAGGAGTCTACATGCACAGCTCTAAAACAGTCAAAATAAAGGATACGGGACTCTAAATCCAGACATGACAGCGGCGGAGTGTTTTGCTCTGTCAGTGTCAGAAAAGCTTCAGGCGAGCTGAATGATGGCAGAGAGCTTGTTAGAATGCCTGTTTAGGCGGTAGCTTTTCTCCGTGAGGTCCAATGAAGTGTATATAAAACAGCACGAACATGGTAACGTTGGAATTAGTGACCTCTAAAAGCCTAAATCCCTTTGATGCCATTTGTCTTTAGAAAAAGGTACGTTTATCAGCCGGGAGGCGAGATGAACATTTCCTCAGCCTAGAGCTTTGAAACACCTCCATGTGGACGTATACAACATTAACCGTTTTTCACAGACATCCTGTCTCCCGCTGATCGGGCTCAACCGATTCATTACTAGTCTTAGTTCGTTCTGGCAGTTTCAGTAGCTATCGCCCTCCTCTTGTCTCTCTCTCGACCGTCCTCTTTAAGAACTTGTGGCGTCGCATTTCACACTTGATGCAATACAAAAGATAAAAAAACAAAGAAAAGAACATCCCTTTCCTGTTTTTACTTGGTCTTTGCAGTGGATTGTCGCTTGTACACGAAGGCTAGTGAGAAGCCTTAAACATCTGCACCCTGTCCAGCACAGACGTGAGAAAGTTCAGTCTTTTCTTCTGTTTTCCGTTCATCGTCCGCCAGAACAGTCTGCCTTCCGGAGAGTGCAGTGACTTTTACATCATGATGAGTGAGATATCCAGTGGCTGACCCCTTAACATCCATCAGAGAATTGTCTTGCTGCTCATAGGCGTGGACGAGTGTTTTATTTTATCCCCTTACCGTTTCTTTTCCCCTCCTTTTGAGACAACTTAAATATGTTTTTAAACAACAGCAAATGTTAGGAAATGTACATTTGTTTTTCCTAGTCTACGACACTATTCTACAGCCGGTTGCCAAGTCAGCATCCAGAGCCAAACATCAGCCCCTACGCTACGGTTCCATGTCTTTTTATTTATTTTTTGTACATTATTTCCATTTTCTTTTATTTGTACTTACAGGAGGCCACTGGATATTGATTTAATGCTCTTTTTTTTACGATGAGTTAATTGTTATACTTGCAGCTACAAGGTACGAGTTTTTAAATATATATATATTTATATATTTATATATTTATAATTTTTTTAAAAAGCGTTTAGTCCTTTGGTCCCTATTTCCTAAGGAATGATGCATGTAAATTATCCTGGATTCCCCACTTCTCTCCTCTTCTTCTTGTTTTCTTCTTCGATCCAGAGCTTGCCCTGTCACAGAGCACAACACCTGTGTAGGCACAAAAACCAAAATTGCAGCAGGCTGGTGTGTGTGTGTGTGTTTGTGTACTTGTGTGTGTGTGTGTGTGTGTGTGTGTGCGCGCACACACACAGGAGTTTGCTTCAGTACTTGTGTTGGCATTTGCACTTATTTATACATGTACAAAGTCTTTTTGTTTTCCGGTTTTCCATTAAGTGTAGCTTCATGATAGTTGTACGTTTGGTTTGTTTCTGTTTCTGTGACTTCATCTGTGTCCTGTGTCTGTATGCATGCTTTGAGCAAAATGAGTCTATAAAGTTTTCTTTTTTCATCGTGTCTAAAAAACAGCAGCAAAAAGTCGGTCTCTGCAAAAAATCTTCTTCCACAGACGCCAAAGCAAAACAGGGAAAAAAGGCAAATGATACCAATAAAAAACAACGACTCTGGGATCCTTCTTTCAGCCACCCAATCTTCCAGCGGCTTTCCAGGAGGATCAAGGGACCACCCTTCCTTCATGATATGTAGCAGAGCAAGGAGTCTTTGTACTTTTACTGCACTTGTGGAAATAAGGTGTTGTGGCCCTTCATCCTGTGACACAAAGAGAGGAAAAGAGAAAGAGACAGGTGGGAGAATAAGGTGAGTGGATTCGGGGAGGCTGCGGCACACATGCTCCGGGTTGCTGGCTCGTGGTTATCACACAGACTGACAGGCACAGCCAACAGCGTGAGGAACAGACGGGAAGAGGAGGAAACAACGGGAAAAAGAAAGAAAAAAAACACACATGGTGTCAATCAAAGCCAGGAATAAGTGGGCTAGAGGTGGGGTGGGAGATTTGTGTTTAAACCACACGGAGCAGACATCTACGCCGTGACAGCACTAATCCAACCAAGGCCTCGTTTAAACCGACAACATCGTCCTGAAAACATGAAAATAAAAAACGCTGCTTGTTGTGTTGCTGTTTGTCCTTTTCTTGTTAATCCACAACCAACAAATGCAAACCAAGAGGGAAACAGAAGAAAATAAAAGTCCACATGGTGTAGTAATTAGAGCGACAGAAAACTGGTGGATCAACAAGCAGCTTGTAGTCTTCACCCATGAAACACCAACCTAGCATCTCCTCGACCTTTGTGGTGACTAGAAACCTCGCCTCGTCTCTGAATGCGTTTGACCGTGCTGCTGGGCTTTGAATAAAAAGATCCTGTTTACAACCTATCAGGCCTAATAAGATGCAAGCGTATGATGTGGGTGAAGAAAGGCTGCAAAATCACACTAAATCACTCTGGGCATGAACATAAAAGGGTCTGACTTTGTGACGGGAACAGGCACCCAGGCGCTCTTTGTTCCATCTTTCCATTTCTGTAAATGAGCTTGTTACCCTTCATAATAGATCTGCTTTGTAGACAGGGGGGTGGGGGTGAGGGTGGGGGTGGAGTCAGACTCATTTCTCATGTGTAAGAAAACCAGCTCAGCTATTAGTGACGGACGCACCAACAGGCCCAATTCTTCTGCAGCTGATTTCTCTGTACACCTTACACAAAGGAAACTCACAATAGGTTTCAACGTTAATGCATTTTCCTCTGCACAATAAAAAGCTCCCATGACAACAAAACAATTTCACCTGTAAAGTGAATCGGAATATAAAACATCAGCATTCGGTGCCCCACAGGCTGGTATTAAAATATGTTCACTGGGTTCGCTCCCTTCCACTCGTGTGAGGTCCTCGTTCGTTAGTGTTTCACATCAGCAAACATTTAAATATTAAGGATAATGACTTTTCACATTATTATTGTTCACTGAGCAAAAACTGTCCAAACCAACCTCGTTCTAATAAAAACGGTCTCCTTAATCAAATGAACCACATTTTTGAGAAAGCTGAGTCCCGTCCGTCCAGCCACGCCCAGACCCGAGTGCTGTCAGTCATTTTAAAAGTTTCTGCCTGAACACAAGGAACCAGCTAAAAGATCTCATAAAGCAACATTATTCATGAAAAACAAAAATATAAAACAGCTAAAGGGGCCTTGCTAATCCCAGAAGTTTTAGGTGTCAAACCAACACAAGACCTAGGAAACGTCTTCTTTGTACAAACGTAGCATGTATCGGGACTTCTCGGGTTTGTTTTTGACCCATGACCTGGGCAGACATTTATTGCGGTGTCTGATAACTGTATGTGATTTGCAGAATTCCCAGGAATTCTGTACTGGGTTTCTCAGAAATAAAAAAAATGTCCTGGCCACAACAACTGTTGCCGTTGTCCTGACTACTGAGAGAAGATGAAAAGGTGTGTCGGTTCCTGTGTAGAGTGAAACGTCCGGAGGAGTCAGCCGCAGTGGCGGCAGTGCGCTTGTCTGGGGCTGCTCGCTGCTTCAGCTCCTGGAGGACTCGGAATTAATAGACTCTTGACTTCTGATATTTAGAAGAAAATACTTAAAGACCGTGTATGACCTTTGACCTGAAACGGGTATTTCATTATGCAAACTCTTCAGTGTGTCTAACCTGAAATAATTCTGCACAGAAGAACGGGACAGAATTCCTCCACAATAAAGCTGCAACGCTAAATTAAAAACATGTTTCATTGCCTCTTATCGACATTCTAACATCGCATAGCTATACATATGTTGAGGAGATTAAATATATATATATATATATATATATATATATATATATATATATATATATATATATATATATAATGAAATGGTTCTCTTACATTTGCCTAAAAACCTCCACCAATAACACGTTTCAAAATCAACCACTGGCCCATCCGGTTGTCGGTCTCACTGAACTGTCGCAGGGTCCTCCACTCATCACACACTCATGTGTTCAGCACCAGAACACCGCTGGTGTGGGGGGGTTCTCCGCTCAATAACATCAGAGAAGGAGAAACAGCCGGCTGCTACCACTTCAGCTTTAGGACAAACTACCAGAGTCCCAAAAAGAAAAGCACCGTTGGAAGTCTCGGACAACAAAAGATGTTTGGACCAAGAAAACAGCGACTGGTGTTTAGCGCTATCTGGTTTCTCCTGGCATTGTGGGTTTCTGGTTCCAGTGGATGCAGAACCTAAGGAGAGGAGTCCGTGTTCTGTGACTGTGTTTGTGTTTCAAACCTAACTTGTTTGCAACTTCACTTTAGAAGCTTTGATGTGAAAGACACACCAGTCACAAGCCTTTGGAACTGGCGCCATCGAGTTTGTTGTGACCAGTTCTTTGGCCTAGGGGGAAATCACGATGGAGATAGGGCCAGGCTGGTTTTTCTTTAATAAACAACATCTTTTGAAAACTGTTGGGTTTAATCAGGTCCTGAAATGTGTTTGCTAATCCAGTTAGCAAAAACCCAGTTTGACTAGGGGGACACATTAGTTTTTGCAGCATTTTAAATGTACGAATGGAAAAAGACCTGTGTTTGATACAGCGCCTTAAAGAGTCCTGGAACCCCCCAAGGTGCTTTACAGCACAATCAGTCATTCACCCATTCACACACACATCATAGCCACAGCTGCCCTGGGGCTCACAGACTGAGGTGAAGCTGCCGTACACTGGTGCGCCACCGGTTCCTCCGACTACCATCGGCCGGCTGTCTTGCCCAATGACGCAACGGCAGCGACAGACTGAGAGAACCTTCCGATTCTGAGGTGGACACTTAACTGGTCTGCCACTAGAACGACTTACTTCCACCAGTAACAGAGGTATGGTTGGGTTTCTTTTACCCCAGATAAAGATTTTTGCTTTTTCAATGAATGGAAAACTGTTAGGGGGTGAGGCGCCTGCCGGTCGGAGAATCGAGTTTGATGAAAACTAAAACTCTCCTCCTTGGGGGGTCTGAACTCGCTGCCTTGCAAAGAAAATATCTGTTTGTTGATATGAAAGCTAAAAATCAAGCAGTTGTGACACACAAGAGCAAAAATAAGTATTAATCTCTAGATAAAATATGCATCAAATTTGGAGTTTAGAAATCTGTGCGTACAATATGACTGGTGAACACAGATCTCGGCCACGTGCCTCTGCTACGGCTTCTCCATTGTGACTGGTCTGCATCTTCATGAATAAATAAAGGGGAGGTGATTCTCGTGTTAGACAAACAAAACAATCTTGCAGGAGCATTCCCTGTGCAGATGGAATCCACCGAGAACCTGAGAGTCAACATTTGCCGGTGCACTCCGTGTGAACGGGAGAGATTTAATGGGCTTCACAGACATGGGGTCATCGAAGCGATCTCTCAGCTAAACAGCCGTCGGTCTGAAGGAGGAAAAAAAGACTCCTTTTGCAGGTAACACAACAGGTTTGTGGGGAAAAAAAGGTAGAAAACACACACATCCATAAACACAAACCTCACGAGAATAAAGTAAAACATCACAAAGGGCACACACTACAATGGCACAAAGGGTTCAAAAGGCCACTCCCAGTTATGATCAACCAACCAAATAGCACGTCATTTACAGGTACCAGCCAAAAAAAGGCACCGATTACACCGACTGCACTCCACAAACTGCCGCTGTACAAGATACAGTATATATATATGAGATATATACATATATAAAAGGAGGGCAGAGTACGAAGAGATAGAATGCAAAGATATCAATCAACGCCACATCATGCAACGCAGTCACAGTCCCACCACATGACGTCATCAAAAAGAATATGACACCATGGGTTCAACTTACAGGTGAGGGAACTTGGCCCCACGACAGGTCGGGGTGTGTGTGGCTATAGCGGGGGGAAAGGCCACCTCACACTGTGATTGGCCGTGCAGGTTGCCAGGTTGTTGAAACAAAACAACAAAAGAAAGAAGGAAATGGTGGGATTTTCTTTTCCTTTTTATTCAAAGCACCCTTTTTTTAACCCCCCCCCCCCCCCCCCCCCCCCCCCCCCCGACCCCCATCCCAACACCACCACTTTTTCTGCCTGACAAATCACAATCAGGTTATGGTTATTACCATAAAACTGTAAAAATAAAATAAAAAGGAGACAGTAAAGCAAATGTAAGAGAACAAATGATATTCAGCAGTGAGAACGTCATTTTTGTGCCTTTGTGTGCTGGTAAAATATTCCCAGGCTGACAACATTTGCAGGTTAAAAGGTTGAATTGATGTTTTTATATTCAAAAAGATAACCCGTATGGCAGAAATGCGTATTTCAGAAACTTGCCCTGTCTTCAGTAATTGGATTTGCCCTTGCATTGTTTGCTGTGAGGTTGGCTGTACAGCGAATGCTTCAGAAATTTATTTTATTTTATTTTATTTGCATAACGTTTATCTTTAAGACACAGAACGCAATTTTGGAGTAGCCGGGCTCCTGAGACCAGGAGAACTTAGTTCCGTCTAATCGTGTTTTAATTCCACCTCGAAGAAATGTTGTCAGCGTCAGAAGAAACGGACTCAGCTGTTGAACTTATCTACATGTTGAAGTTAAACTTGTGAAGAACACCAACGAATTTGATCATTCAAGTCCTTTCATCACGACTAACGTAGTTTAATCATAAAATGAACGCAAACATCAGAACGTTGTGCTTAGCCTTTTTGCACCTCCAGTCAGAATTAAGAATTATAGTTTTTATTAGGTATTTTTTTAAGTAGACTTGTTTGCATGACTGTTAAAGATGCTGTGATGGCTAAGAGCTGCCCTCAGAAGCCTCAGTCTGCTTTTAACATGTTCTTCGAATGTTTTTCCTGCACTGGATTTCTTTAACTCCACCACAGAAACGGTGTAATAACAGCAGAGGAACAGAGATGGATTGAATTGGACCCGAGACGAAGGGACACACACACACACACACACACACACACACACACACACACACACACACACACACACACCTCCCGATTGAGTGATGAAATGTTATGGGAGGAAATGTGTTTACTTTTGAATCTCAACGACCGCCCTGTCACTCAGCGATGGCGCGGGATATTTTCCATTTGTCCCTCGTTAATGGGATAAATCAAATCACCCCCTCCTTTTTTCTGTGTCTCCTGTCAGCTTTGAAAGCTTCTCCTCAATTAGCAGTCTGCAGCTCTATTCAAAAGCTATCAGGGAAGGGATAGAAGGAGCATCTATCACTGGGACTGCACACGCCATCCCGTGGCTTTTAAAGAGTCCCATCTAAAACAAGTAAATGGGATTACCATGTGTTTATTTATGGACGAAGACAATCCGAGCTTATGTGACTGCAATGAAAAGTTGTCCTGCCAGTTGGGTTTAGTGAGCATGCATCTATATTATTTTTTTGCACTGGCGGCTGCAATTCGCCAGCAGATGGGCGATGATTATTGTAATCACTTGTGACACTGTGAAACGAGTCCGTTGATGGATGGCGCAGCTATGTTTTACTGTTTTATGTAAAAGTGCAAACCTTTTAATGGCCAAAGATAAGGAGTCATGGAGATACCTATAAGCATGTGCACTAATGACTAAAGAAAAGCAGCTCTAATAACACTAAAACAGGAAGATTTTCAGCACCAAGGATGCCGGGTAATGACAAAAACAGAGCGGATTCTCTAATAACCTCGACATTGTGATTGCGTATTCATCCGTATTTGGTTGAGCTGCCTATAATATATAATAACTGACAAGGAATAATGATAAAGTGTGTAAATCTGGAACAATAATAAGGCAGAACTATTTAGTCATTAACCCCATGAGGGACATCATCCATGCCAGTCATTTGCATGTCAGTATTCTGAAATATAAATATCTACCTAAAGTTGCTGAATCAACAGACTTTATTTGTGCTGGAAGACCATGAAGTAAAAATAAATACATCAGCTGAAGAGTAGAGAGTTGCTTACAGGTAAGGAGCGCTGAAAACCCAGTTTTAATGATTATTTCTGATTCTAGCGGGTCACTCTGAGTGTTTCATGCAGGCTGAACATGAAAATAGTCTCCTACACCTACCTCCTGCAGTAGCTTCTGATAGAAAACAGACGGTGAAACTCTAGGATTAGAAAATCCTGACAGATCTGCGTCACCCTGTCACTAACATTCATGGACTCACCCATCTGGACTCACGACGGAGAAGGCTGTTGCTGGTTTAGCGTCCGGTAATCAGCAGCGTGAGTCTCAGCTAGTTGAAGCTAACTGTTAGCATTAGCAACTCCACCACACAGCAGAACTCCTCCAGGCTTGTGTTATTGGTGGAGATAAATCATCTACGTTGCAGAGAAACCAGAGTCAGTGGTAGAGTTGTGTTGCTGTTAGCCAATCAGAGACGAGAGGCCCATACATCGGAAAATAAGACCCCAGGTCCGTCCGTCTGAAGCCACCGTCTCCTCCAGCTGAATTAAGTGTGATGGAGGCGCTTCTGCACACACTTCCTGAGTAAGACTTGAGAGGTATTTATTTCTACTGGAGACGGCTGCAAATGTAACGATTAGACAAGTAAACAATTTAAAGTTTGTTTAGATGTGCTTTTTCAACTCCTCTAAACACAATGGTCTACAGATTATGTTACTTGTTCTTTATCTGCTGTCAAACAACCATTAAGCACATACGACTGATGTCATGCACTGGTGTTGATCAGATAGGATTCTCAGCCGCATTAGTTTAGAGGTGAACGTAGCTAAACCATCATAACCTGATTCTTTATAATCTTGTTACAGTACGAGTACAACGCTTGTTTAGGTCAGCTGTTTCATTATTTGGTTCTTTTATAAACACACAGAGTGTTGATTTCATTTGACCTTGTTTAGCTGACAGCTTTCGGCTACTTCCTGCAGCCATCCTCAGAGCACCGCCGATGTTGTTGGAGCCACAACCTTCTCCAGTTATCTGCGGGCAGCAGAGGACGATGTCGCCCTCTGCTGCCCGCGCCCTCCTCGTCGATGACAAGGTCCCAATGTGTGATGCCGAGTGTAAACTCCATCATCTCTGTTCACGGTTGTGTGTCCACATCTCCTTATTTCTATCGCTTCCTTGATCCATCATTTGTACTTTTGTTCTGTGTCTATGACCCGTGTGCTGTCCCAGTCCTCGGTATGATTTCTCTTGTCCACTGGTCTGTTATGGCTGATGTCTTTATTGTAATGTCTGCTTCTTGTTTTGCTGCTTTTGTGTGTCTTTGGCTGGTTTCTTTCTCACACTTCTTCTGTGTTCTATTACTCCTGTGTTGAGTTGGCATCGGCGGTGCTCTGAGGACAGCTACAGTGTTAGTTGTACCCCAGGAGGACTAGCTGTGGAGTATCCGTCAGCTAATGGGCATTGTTTATGAATAAAGAAATAAAGGAATATAGCTGGAACTAAATACAAATCAACACTGTTGAGTTTAGCCCCTGTGGCCTCTTGAAACATTCACTGATCCTATCTGATTAAAATAAAATGCAAGTCACCAAGCTGAGAAACATCTAAAAATGATAGAAACAATTGAATAAATACTTCATTTCATTATTATTATTTAAATACTATTCATGTCTTTACATTTGTAATCAACTGTCCCCAAATAGAAACAACATATAAAAATAAGTTGTTTTTACTTATTAAAAGGTCAAATGTATGAAATCGGAAGTGTCCCAATATGGGGGGCTGGGGGGTGGGGAGTGAAACAATCAAAAGAAAGTACAAAAAATGACAAAGCAAGAAATCTGAGCCTGTTTTGGAACCATCCATCCCTTTTTGGTCGCTTATCTGGGGTCGGGTCCCTGGGGCAGCAGCCTAAGCAGGGCGGCCCAGACTTCCCTTTTCCCAACCACTCGGGCTAGCTCCTCTGGGGGGATCCTGAGGCATTCCCCAGCCAGCCGTGACACTGAGTCTCTCCAGTGTCCTGGGTCTTATTTTAGCCCAGGGTGTCAAACTCAAATTCCCACTGGGCCGGAATGAAAAACTGGGACGTAGTCGTGGGCCAAACACAATATTTTTTACGACAAATCTGCAAATTTTATTTTATCGATAAATAAGTTTTGTTGAATCTTTTCATTTGGAAACAAACCTAATTTTAATACTTAATGTGGAATAACCAAATTACACACAAGCAAACTGATTTTAAATAAAGCGCACATCAGTGTTACTTATTATGTTTTATTATTTTTATTTATTTAATTGTGTTTATACACAGCATATATACCCCTGCTGCTCTGTTCATCTTCATCAGAGACAACAGTTGCTGTGTGCCCCAGGGCAGCTGTGGCTACACTGTAGCTCATCACCATCGGTGTGTGTGAATGGGTGAATGATACACTGTAGGGTAAAGCACTCTGGAGTCCTCTGACTCTTAAAGGTGCTTTCCAAGCGCAGGTCATTTATCACATTTACCGTGTGTGCTGCTAAACCGGAGTTAAATCATCTCGGTCTGGACGCTGGTTGGTGTGCTTTCTACCTCAAAGTAAACTCGGCTCTGAGTAAGAGAAGTGCTGCTCAGGTTGTCTGAGACTGAGACCACCACACCTCTCCAGGTCTCACTGCCGTTGCTCACGTGAGCGTTAAAGTCCCCCAGCAGAACGAGGGAGTCACCGGAAGGAGCGCCCTCCAGCACCCCCTCCAAGGTCTCCATAAAGGGTGGGTAGTCTGAACTGTAGTTTGGTGCATAAGCACAGACCACAGACAGAACCCGTCCCCCCACACGTAGCGGAGGGAGGCTACCCTCTCGTTCACTGGGGTAAACCTCAACGTACAGGCACCAAGATGGGGGGCCAACTACTATGCCCACCCCTGCTCGGCGCCTCTCAGTCGGGGCAAATCCAGAGTGGTAGAGAGTCCAGCCCCACTTATGGAAGCTGGTTCCGGAGCCTGAGCCTGCGTCGAGGTGATTCAGACTATGTGTAGTCGGAGCCTCTCAACCTCACACACCAACTCAGGCTCCTTCCCCACCAGAGAGGTGACATTCCACGTACTGAGAGCCAGCTTCTGTAGCCGAGGATCAAACCGCCACGGTCCCCGCTTTCGGCCACCGTCCATCACACATTGCACCCAACCCCTTTGGCCCCTCCCACTAGTGGGAACACTGTTTCCGTTTGAATTAATCATCATAACTCTTCTACCGGCACTCACAGAGAACAGTCGCTTCTGCCTTTTGCTCCCTTATCTGTATTTTCCCAAGGCTCTTTTTGTCCCGTCTGCCTACAGAGCGCTTCTCTGCATTTCCTCTGCATTCACTATTTTTCAGCATGGACTTAATTAATTGGTCTTTCAACGCGATTGATAAGATTTTTTCTACAATGAGGACGGAGGAGGGGGCTCGAAACGGAAGCTAACATATCAAGCTAACGTTATCTTAAACATTTTATTTACCTACCGGAGCAGATTAAGATGAGGATGTCTCACTTAGATCGTTGTCGCTGGTTTCATCATCACCCATTTACCCATCACATTTAGTGAAGTGGACCCAAGCTTTAGCGTGTGTTCTTTCTACCATGCTGCTCTGTTTACAACTGGCTCGCAGCGACCGACGACATAACGCTCTTGCGCATGCGCAGCTGTCTAGACAAGTTCTCGTTATGAAGGACGGGTACCGAAACGAGACACCGTTTCAAATGACGTGAATCGGTGCTCAGTCGGTACTATGGAATTTGGTCGGTACCTTAAAAAGTACAGAATTCGGTACCCATTGCTACACTGAGGATCTTTTACTTCCTTGATCTGCCCAGAACAACCACTGAAGACAACCTACCTCCACCTAACAGCCTGCCCTAACCCCACCCCCTCACCCCGGGGTTCTGGGCTCTAATGCTGCAGCATGAATCTCGTCATGCAGTTGACAGAACAATGGTGCAGAGCTACTTCAGCCAGCAAATATCTACTATTTGCTTTTGGAACTTTTAGCTAAACACTTTGGATCAAATGGTGCCATTACGACAGCTGAACTGTACCCAGCCGAGCACTGGCCCGGAGCTTTCTGCGGGTTCAAATTAGATTTGACAAACAGTGGAAGGAGCATGTTTCTACAGAGCAGGGCAACCTGACCCAAAAAAAAAATAACTCTAAAATATGTTTCTAAGGAATGGGGCCTGTGGATTGTAAAACAGTACACCGGTATTTAAAATAAAACTGGTTGATTTGGAAAGAAGGTCTGGGAGTTTCCCCCTTGTTGGACACAGTCGATACAGAATTACTGAGATCTGCCGTTTGGTCTGACATGAAGATAAGGATTGAACACATTAAATACTTTGTTTTAAAGGCCCAATGTGTGATATTTCATCTTATAAGTTATCAAATTTCTTGTATCACATTCTCAAATTTGTTTTTTTTTTATGATAATTCAAACAAGCATTTATTCTAAGCATTATTATTAGCTTTATATTTTAATATTTTAGACAAAAGAAGCAGACCGGTGCTCCATATGGCATGCGCCATCTTAAAATACAGTGACCTTTTAGGGACATACAACATATTAAGCTTCGCATTTGATGTTTGCGTTTTTAAATGATGTAACCTCAAAGAAACAGCAGGGGGCAGAAGTGCGCCTTGTAAGCATGCAGTCTGACAAAGTAACTAAGAAGAAGAAGAAACTAGCCACACCGTACTTCTAGCGATGGAGGATCACACATATTCTACAAGCAAACTTGAGAAACGGGATAGTTTGAAAGCGCTTGAAAGCGCCGATCTTCTAGACTTTATTGCAGCTCTGCCTCTTCCTCTTGTGCGTGGAACGTTGCGGCTGGTTTGAGCAAATTCGGCTCCTTCATCTTGGGATGCTTGCCCTGCTTCTGTCGCATGTCTAACACCTCTGCCTCTCTGTGCGCTGGCACACGTCTGTCCTCTCCCTCTTCCTCTCCCTCTTCCTCGCCCTCTTCCTCTCCCTCGTCCTCTGTCTGTCTTCACTGATGAACCATCGGATGATATCTGACTCTGTTTACGGAGAGAAAACAATTACAGACTACACTACCTTGTATATTTCCAAAATGGCAAATAGAAATATAACATTTCTCAAATAAAATGAACAAAATATTGTCATTTTTTGTAGTCAGAAGTCATCACTAACTAGCTGCCGTTTGCTATTAGCAAACATAACTGACATTAAAAAGTTTTTCTTATTCAAAACCTATTTAGATTAAATTAATAAAATAAGTTAGATGAAAACAACTAACCTGTTCGCTGACTTGAAAGCTGGAATTAGATGATGACATGCTGCCGTTTACAGCAACACGATTTTGTATTGTATTTGTTATATTTGTTAATAAAGTTTTAAATAATGATTAAAAAAACCTTTTGATCCTCGGGGGCTCCAATAGCTGCAATACCGACTCTAAACTGCGTGGTGCTAAAGAGTCGGATCTTTTTACTATGATTTCTGTGAATTTCACACACGGGGCCTTTAAGGAAAACTTGAGTATAAATATGATTTTCACCAAATTAGAACCAAAATGATGGCATTTCCCCTTGGTCAGTAGAAAATGAATGAATAAATACATAAATGTATATTTGTACTTCTCAGATTCCCACAAAAACAAAGTTCTCTACAAAACAGAAGTATGCGTAATGTTTGATCTTAAACTAATATCTAAGACATGGAATTTTCCAAGTGACATGGGAGATTTGAGCCAAAGCTACGGAGCTTTGCAGCATACTGTACCTGGTTATGAACAGCAGACAGGTTAGTAAGGTCGGTTGGCATCCTTTGGCCGCTTTAGCTGCACCTTCAGCCTCTTCATGCCTATCTGGAAGCCGTTCATGGCCTGGATGGCGGCTTGAGCACTGGAAGGGTTATCAAAACTCACGAAGCCTGAGACAAGGCCACCGAGCACGAGACACACATGAAGGGAAGAGAACGAGGAGAGATGAGACAGCGGGAGAGAAAGAAACAAAGCAGAAGGCAGGTGAGATGAAAGCAGAGCGTGGAAACCTGTTGTTAGCTCCGCACAATGACACAACAAAAGGTCTTTGTTTTCTCTTGTCAGCACATTAATTGGAAATCTCTGAATTAAAAAGAAAGATTGCCTAAAATACCACAAAGGCTAATAACACAGATATTAACATCAAATGAACGAGAGGCGTTGGGATCCAGGAGTCTCACTTTGACAGAATAAAGGAAGGTGTTCCGAGATAAGAGAAAAATCCCCGGCTCTCGCGCAGAGTGTGGATTTGCAGACCAGAGCAGGGCGTGTAAACGTTACAGGAGCGTTTGAGCCCTACAAGAACAGCAGAGCTCTGCAAGCATGTTTTTTATTTCGTGTGTGACTGAGCATGTTTCTAAGTAAAGAGCAGAGGGCACGGGGTCGTGATGAGATGCTAGGAGCGAGGTGTGCCGCTCTGAGTTATCACTTAGGTGTTGAGGCAGCATGAGCCCACAGCTTCCCCCGCCGGGACTCCACGCCTGCTCTTATCAGACACCTCCGTGATTGACGGCCAGAATTTTCCGCCTGCCAGCTGATTTGATCACACCGCTATGGGTCCAATTTAATTTGGGGGGAGAGGGCAGGCTTTTGTCAGTGTAGGTGAGATACGGCTGCTGCTTTTACAAACCCTTTAAACAAACGGAGCTGGGAAGGGCGTGTCAGTTGGTAGTGATCCCAGTCAGCACACACACACACACACACACACACACACACACAGTCATGCATTATCTCTGGCTTTAGTGAATGTCCGAACCTCACAATTACATCCACCTGTCAAAAAGAGATAGAACTCTGCGAGTCAGAAGATAAAAGAGTGAAACAGAGTTTTAAATGCAAGATTCAAAGTGAAAATCCAGGTCAAAGACAATAATTATCTGTTAACTAGAGTTTTATGCAGATTTAACATATTTTTCATTTAATAGGAAAAGAAAAAATATGTGGAATTTTATTTTTTGTGGCTTTTTATAAATCGCCATTTGCCCTAAAGTACTGTAGCTCTGTTCATAGAGAGGTGTGTTTTAAGTGAGATTTGATTGGAGTAGGAGTCACCGCTCATCTGGTGAGGTGCTGCATCAAAACACTCCAATCTGCGACGTGAGAGCTTTATTTGTCGAGCTTTCGGTCCGAGACCTTCATCAGGAGTTGTAGCGGTTCACACAAACAGTCCTTAGTTAAACAGGACAGTTGATGCCAAACACCTGTGTGGCTCAATACAGCAGAGCATCATGGGAAATAGAGTCCCAGTCAATGAAAACAGTGCACTTTACATTAAAAGCAATCAAAATCAGCTCCAGAGGGGAGAGATTTATACATTGCAAACATCAAGCTCATTCACTGGGGACTCTCTTCTAAAACCAATAGAAATATTATTCAAAAAGTCTATAAAAATCTTGGATCAGAAGCCTTTGTCATATTACCGTTGTAATATTCTGGCAAAGTACAACATACTTAATTTTAAATATGTTATTAAGTTCAAAAATAGTTGTTTAATCTACAAGCACTTATGGACTAGCTCCACCTCCACTTTCCGCATACGTAAAATTAAGAGCAGACAAAGGCTATGGTGCCAGAGCCTCCACTAGAGGAGACCTTCAGGTCCCCTACAGGAAAACGACGTTCCGACAAATGGTGCTGTCCGTTAGAGGGAGTCAATTTTGGAACAACATCCCAGCGAATATCAGAGTTTCCCACTTATAGCACCTTTAAAAAGCACCTCACACTACATCTTAAAGGTTCCCAGACATGTTTGCATCTTTAGTTATTCTTATTTTTTTGTTTGTCTATTTTAAAGGAATGTTTCTATCGGACTGTTTATAAATTGTATCGTGTTACTTGTTTTACTTAGTTCTCTTGTTGACGGACTACAGATGCTAATTAGCAACTATGCTATAATCTGGCCCATTTACACAATGTATTTGATTGTTTATTAATGTGTGTTGTCCTGAATAAAGAATTGAAATTGTAATTAAAAGCTATCATAAAGCAAGGCAATGAGTGAGTGGGATTGGATTAAAATGTTACTGTTTTTCATCTGACGTTAACCTGTTGCAACAAATTCAACACTTACATAAACTAACACTTGACAGTATTAAAACCGTTATTAGAAGATGTTGTTCCTGAGCGGCTCTAACCTCCCAGCCAGTCTTCCATCTTTTCAAACAAAACAAGAACAAGAGACCAACACCAGGACCTGCCCGGTGATCTTTCTTATGTGTTTTCCACACAAAACAAATCGGCATCTCTAAAATATCTGAAACAAATGATGGCCGTATTACGTCTGCTTTCTTTAGAAATGGATGATCCAGTGGGAAGCTTTAACTTTTGTTTTCTCAAATCACTCCTAAGAGGTCCGTGTGGGAGGTGAACCTGCAGTGCATCACACGTGTTCAGTTACAGTAAAACCAGAATGCTCAAAGACCTCTTCAAATGTTCACTGAATTATTCCTCTTCCATGAACAGATAACCTCCCACAGCCATGTGAACATAATTCAAGCTTTTAATAACAAGTAAACCATTTGAATCTTATTTTCAGTTTACATCTGTTTCTCCCAGGACTATCTGGAATGTGTTTCTAATTCCAGATAATTCCACTCAGCCGTCTAAGCTTTGATCCCTTTTTAAAGTCAGCAGTGAGTGACCTAATGAAGAGGATTAAGTGGTAAACATATAAGGAAGCATAACGACTTGAGGGTTTATTTATTCATCCACGTTGGGTCAAATCTTTTGTGAAGCTAAATGACACCGTCTGTCACTGCAAACACACGTGTTACCGGTCAGTGATGCTCAAAGTTACGCCACATTCTTGTTTTCCACATTTCCACAACTACACCTTTCTGTGCCCAGATTAAATTCTCCCGTTTCCCTGTAAACATTACAGAGTGATGTCAGATTATCTTTTTAGAGGGGTTTGGTTTTTTAAGTTTTTCCCTTTGCTGCAGGGAGACAGACCATCTCTGCAAATCTGTACGATACAAATCACACAAAAGCTTCTGCACTGAGAACGTAATGCAGACGTGCAGAACAAGACATATGACACTTAGTCCAATACAAACTGTAGTGTTGTGAATTTTTTAGAAGTTTAGCATCTCGATTTATAAGTAGTTCATACGTGCTTTGTTGTATTAAGAAATATTTAAGTCTAAATGTAAACCCTAATGAAGTTTTAGATACATTAAATTAAAGAGATGTTATTTCAGGCCCTCGTGCTGGTAGAAGGGAGAAACAACCACAGATTATGAAAGGAGTGTTATCTTAGAGGTAAGAGTCGTGTAAGTTGCTAAAACATCAAATATTGACTTAAGCAAAGAATGAAATTTTAAAACAATCACCCTAAACTCTTTAAGATTAGGAAAAATAGATGGGGGGGGGGGGGGGGTGCCAGTGCATCATTTCTAGGTCCTAAAAGTTACCCACGTTGCAACTGTCCTTCAGACGTTCAGAGTCTTATTTCCTGATGTTTGGACATTTCGCCTCTGACCGGATAACAGCAACACAACTCTTACACTGACTTACATCACTGATGTTTTATCTCCACAAATAACACAAGCCTGGAGGAGTTCTGCTGTGTGCTGGAGTTGCTAATGCTAACAAGAGGCGTTCTCTGCTGTTTCCTGGACTAAACCAACAACAGCCTTCCCCGTCGTGAGTCCAGATGGGTGAGTCCATGAATGTTGGTGACAGGGTGACGTAGATCTGTCAGGATTTTCTGATCCTAGAGTTTCACCGTCTGTTTTCTATCAGAAGCTACTGCAGGAGATAGGTGTAGGAGACTATTCTCATGTTCAGCCTGCGTGAGACACTCAGTGAGCCATTAGAATCAGAAATAACCAGTAAAAATATGTTTTCAGTGAACTTCACCTTTAAAAATATTACAGTAAGATTGTGTTCATCTGATCATGTAAACTTTAACAGTATTAACCAGAGTGTTCATACGCTGTCACAAAGTGGTCAAAAACGGGAAAATTCCTACTAAATCAGCTGTGACGTGATTTTAAAATGAAGAAAATCATTTTCAAAAGCTTTTTATTTCAAGTTATTTGCCAACATCCCATTTACACACCATGGTGAGAGTGATGAGGTCATCAGCCCTCTGCCTCCCACCCCTAAACCAGCTGTGTGTGTGTGTGTGTGTGTGTGTGTGTGTGTGTGTGTGTGTGTGTGTGTGTGTGTGTGTGTGTGTGTGTGTGTGTGTGTGTTTGAGACAGAAAGGTAGAGAGTGCTGTCCCCTGGGTGCTGCTGTCCACCTGAATCAACAGCGAGGCCCACGCCTGTCTATTATTATCTCTTTACGCCCATGGAGTCCACCTGCACACCCTCCGCCCTGAAGAAATGTTCTGTGTGTGGAAGAGGATGCCAGGGAAAGGGAAGGTTTGTGGGAGGCTGCTGGTTAGAGGAAAGTGGGAGTCTGGGGAAAAGCTTTTCTCTTGGGTGAATGAGACTGGGAATAGTGGAAAAGTAAAATGGTGTCATGGGTGATTCTGCAGGTTGAGTGCTTTGCAGTCTTGTTTCTGGTTTTATTGTGTTTTTGGTACTTCCTGTTTTATTTTGTGCATTCACTTCCTGTCTCATTACAGGCAGCTTCACGACATGAGGCTCCTCACTAATCTGCCTCATGTCTTGCACCTGGGTCCTGGCTTCTCCATTTAAGCGTCTTTGCAACAGTTTCCTTTGCCAGTTTGTCTTCTTCAGTTGAGTACTGTGAACCTGCTCTCAGTAACACTTTGTGAGAGTGTATTTAGTTAGTTTTGGACTCTTGCTGTTTTTGAAAAGCCACGATGGAGATTACGACAAAGCCGGTTGTGTGTGCTTGTCTTTGGGTTACTGGATCGTACACCTTATTACATCATCACCTTTGTTTTATAGCAGAACAGGAGTTCTGCAGCTGCTATGATGTCACCCTCTAGTCTGTAGAGGGTTTGGTCCTAAGTTTGTAAAGTGCCCCTCAGTCTTTAATCTACACTAAAAAGTCCACGTCTTCTTTTCCGCTCTTTCCTGACAAACACAGACTTAAGTGTAACGTTACTGGTACAGGACATAAAACCAGGACGAGAAGCTGACGTTTGGCCTGTGCTGGCTAAGTTGAAGCCATCGACTACCACTACTACTAAACTGTATTTATATAACGCCTTCACACGGCCCAAGGACCAAACAAAGCGCTGCACAGCAGAAATAAACATTAAAAAATAAAAACATGTAAAACAATTAAAAAAAACAACAAAAACATGAAGATAAAATCTAGGTGGGGCAGCAAAAAAAGTGCAAGGCCATCCGTTAACGAGGCTCTTCTTGAATAAAAGCTAAAGAATAAAAGTGAGTTTTCAGCTGGCTCTTAAACTTGCCGAGTGTGGTGGCCTGTTTAACGCATGCAGGTAGCTCATTCCAGAGCCTCGGCCCCAGCACCGAGAAAGCACGACCCCCTCGAGATCGTAGTCTGTGTTTAGGAACGACCAACAAAACGGGGTCTTTAAGCTTTGCTTTTGCCTAGAATTGTTTTCAAAAGGCCAATGGCCATTTAGCAAAAAGTGGACTACTCTAATGGATCTCAATGACAGATTAAACCCATCCATAGGAAGAATGAAACTAATAATGCCAACGGATAGCACTGAAAATACAACGTTGAGAGGGAAACCATTAATCAAACATAGATCAGATCTACTCTGAAGAAACGGTCTGACTGATGAGCCACAAAATGAACTGCTGCCATCTTTTTCCAAAAACACGATAGTTAATATAAAAAGGACTTTATAGATCTCATGAACCTCCTCCATTCATCTGATATTACACAGCTAATGCGTGTACTCTTAAGGTACGCAGCTGGAGGTGTCCCAGTCCAAGCCACTTTTATTTGTGTTGCAAGTAACTATAGACTTCGGTTCAAAATGGAAAACTGATGGGGGCGGTGGGGGTAAATGGGCATCAAACGGTGCTTACATGAGCTGGTATTGCAGTTTTAGGAGTTGCTGTGAGAGCAGAAAACTATGCCGTCTATATTTCCAATCAGTTATGCTGATGTCACAGCTGTTAGCAAGAACAGGTTTATGCAGCTTACGTGTTTAGGGCTTTGCAAAAAGGGTCTATACGTCCCCAAATTACCCTACTACCAATGATCCACAACATCAAAACACTAAATAACCCCCCTACCTCATGACCAAATACTAAAGTTTCCATTAGAGCTGCCCATTTTAAAGAGACGATCAGTAGTTTTTACCTTTAATCTCTGGAAATATCCATCGAAACGTTGTTGAAAATGCATAAGTCAGTTGTTGAAAAATGTTGGGGGCTTCGTACCATATAACCATAAAAATCGGGTCTAAAGTGCGTAGGGGGCGGGTCTAGCGTCTTTAGCCGTGTTTTCTTCTGTCCCAACACATTCTCCGAGTTCTCCGAAGCAGCTAAAACTGATGCGGGGTGACCAAGCGTTTGCTTCCGACGCATGGGGAGTCCCAACGTGTCGGGAGGCGACGGGTTGTGCCAGAGCGTCGCTTTCTGACATCCGTGGTAAAACGGAGATTTCACCAAATTTTGACCTTTACCCTTTTGCAATTTAACCTTCCCCTTACCCTTATCCTAACCTTAACCCACTTGTGCATGCAAAACTTTGTTTCTAGTTGTAAAGTCCCTCTCCAACACAGTTAACAAAAAGTTTAGAATGAAAAACTGGGTGAAGGTTAGGATGGGGGTGAGGGTAAGGTTAAATAACAAGAGGTCAAAGGTTATATCTCGGTTAAATGTGCGTTTTCCTGCGGGCTTCAGAAACCGTAGCTCTGGCACAGCGCGTCGCCTCCAGACGCGTTGGGGAAGAAATGCTTGGTCACCCTTCGCCAAATTTAGCCGCTTCAGGTGTGAGAATGTATTTTGTGGCCAGCTCAGGGTCCTGCACATGTTGATGACATCACACTAGATGACTGGCTGGACATACGACTTATGGAAGTTACGTTAACATGTCCAAAATCATCCAGGAAGTAAGAAACACACATTTAATAACAAAACTGCTAAACACTTGCCAAAACATATGTGAAAGAACAGAATTGAAAAAGACATGCTATGTATTTTGGCCGAGCGGTATTGCCGTAGAATGATCGTAGTTCGTCATCGGCAGGCGCAGGCCCCCAAGCAGATAGGGAAAGCACAGCAGCAGAAAACTACAATCGGTACTACATTCTCTCGTGGAATTGACTGAAGAACTGCATTTAAATTTCAATCTGCCACTGCTATTGGCTAAGAGGTACACAATGACATTAGCTGGTACATTATGATGTCACAATGTCCTTTTGAGTCTTTGTGAGTGTATTTGTTGATGGCACTGCCCACTTGGTCTGCCAGGCAACAGCAATTGTGGCATTTTTCAAACAGGAAGTGGGAGTGGAGTAGGACTCTGGTAGGGGGTGACTTGCTCTTTAAGATGACGCTAAACATGCCTCAGGTCAAACCCGAAGTATGTTTGTTTTTGACACTCGGCTTCGCTTTTCAGCCTTAAATGTTTCATCTTGTTTTTTGCTCATGTGAGACATCTGTAGGGAGCATCATTCCTTAATTTCCCACCTTCACCCACCTTGTGCAATGGTATGTAATGTCCCTTTAATTGCACCTTGGTTTGGGAAAATATTGAAATAAAAGCCCAGGAACGCCGCATTTGTAGGGGATCAACAAGTGTCAAGAGTACACAATCAGCATCTTTGTAGAGTGTTGACTCACCAAAACATTTGCTCTGATTGGTCGCTCGGTCCACAAAGACTTTGGCAGAAATGACGTTGCCAAAAGGTAGGAACATTTGCATGAGCTCAGCATCTCCAAACTCCTGGGGCAGGTGATAAATAAACAGGTTGCAACCTTCTGGCCCTGGTGACAAGTGAAAAACGACAGGAGAGTTTTGTGGGAGCGTAAACAGGAAACGTCTAGCGAGAGACAGCCTGACTGATGACATGGAGGAAAAAAAGCTACGAAGCAATCAAAATACCAGCCGATGACACAGCTGAATGCATGTACACCAGTACATCTAACTAATTTATTAGGAAATAAACAACGACCTACATCCAGCAGCACAGAGTCAGTAATAAGAGAAGTGAAAACGACAGACACAAAATAAAAAAGTGTTGAAGGTTTGAGTGCAAGAGATCGAATGAGACCGTTATTGGGTTAGTGAAGCTCTGAGACATGGAGAAACGGAGAAAGAAGAGAGAGCACACATTAAGACACAAGCCAAGTTTTTGCTCCAATTACTGTGTGACAGTAGGACTGTCGTCCAATCTCTTTCCATCCCTCCACACTCATCTATCCAGCTGCCACATATTGTACTGGCCAATCTGGATGGAGGCAGGAATGAACTGGAGGGAGACGGAGAGAGATCACAGAAGCCAGCCATGGACACACACACACACACACACACACACACACACACACACACACACACACACACACACACAGGGAGCGGGGGGGACTTGATGAACTCAGAGACAGTAAGCCTGGAGCTGGCTGCTTGTCTAACTTTCTCTCCTGTCTCATTGCTCAGGGTGATAGCATGACGAGATGAGGCTGAGTCTGGTGAGAAGCCTGATAAGAGGGCTGCAGTGGTAGCTGGCTGTAGTGCTGCTGTGGCTTGGTGCGATAAAGGACACACACACACACACACACACGCGCACGCGCACACGCACGCGCACGCGCACGCACACGCACACGCACACACACACACACACACACAAAGGTTGACTGAGTTTCTTAACACTTGGAGGCTGAATATCGGGTCTGTCTTTTTAGGTTTAGATGTTTCTATGATTAATTTTAACAATACGTGATTTTTAGAAATAATTTATAGAAGATTTTAGCACCGTGCAAAAATTAAAAACCAAACCTGATTTGCTTTAAGTGCTCATGATTTATGAAGAGAACACAAACTGAACAAAGGAAAAGTTCTACGTCAAATTAAAAGTATCAGACTCATCATCCTTCAGTTGATCATCTAAAGTCCATCTATCTATCTATCTATCTATCTATCTATCTATCTATCTATCTATCTATCTATCTATCTATCTATCTATCTATCTATCTATCTATCTATCTATCTATCTATCTATATATCTGTCTGTCTGTCTGTCTGTCTGTCTGTCTGTCTGTCTGTCCGTCCATCCATCCATCCCTTTTCTTCCGCACATCAGCCGTAGTCATATCAGCTAATAGGAGTTGCATTGTTAGCAGTAAAATCAGCACCTTTTCTTCAGTATTTTGCAGCAATTAAACTAATAAAAATGGCCAAAGATGAAACTCTGGTTCATCCTTTGATTTTGAGAGCCTTGTTTTCAGGGATGTTCAATATTATTGGTGTAACAGAATGAAATGACTGTTTTCCACCTAAAAGTCATTTCCCCCTCTCCTCAGCAAGAACTAGTCTGCATGAGATATTGCTCAAGGTCTCATGCATTTGCTTCTAAACTGTTTCCTTTCCAGCCCAAGAGAAGAATGAAGACAAAGGACTCTTCCTTTTTAATAAATCAAAGAACTCTATTTTAATAAGCTAATCAAACAAAGTGTTAGTCGATAATAAAATGTAAACCAATCTGTGAAATGAAAATATTAATACTTGATATTATATTCCTACAGAATATAATAAGTAATATGACTTTAAATGTTCCACTAGAGACTGATCACACGTAGCGTTAAGACATGACACATTGCTTTACTGATCCAGTCAGAATCTGCCAGATCTGATGGAGGCGTGGTTTTGGTGGTGTTTGGTAAAATCTGTCATCTTTTCATTCGACCATAAACCAAAACATCCGAAGTATAAAACTATGCCCACGTCATCTTTAACGCCAGTTCAAAGCGTTCTAGAGAAGTTGTCGGAGTGGCCAATCCGTAACTTTCCTCTTCAGCCGAAAGAACCAACGACAAGCTGGATAAAATCTGTTGCTGTTCCACCTGCTGCAACTGTTCCTTTCAGAATAAAAGCTGAACTCATTGACCCTCCGGGTCCATCTGACGCTGTCAACCAACTGTCGCTTTTTACCTGGAGACAATCCAAAGACTAGTCTGTCGTACTGCTGACGCTGTTTCATCGGCTCCGGTACCGAAAGGGGGGTTCGAGGACCTGGCAGTCTGGATCTGTACGGTGGTCTCACCTGAAGGGTATGTGTGGAGCAACAAAATGGCGTCTTATGTGTTTATGAATCTCCAGATCAAAGCTTAGTGCAAAGAAATCACCTTCACACCCACCAGAACTAATCGTTTCTCCGGATTTGCTGGTTCTGAACAACATTCCACACTACACCATTCTCCGTCTCACTTCACCTTAGTTACACCAGACATTTAGTGTTTAAGGTTAGTCTAGTTTTAATTTGTTTAGTAATAAATCTTTAAACTTTTAAAACTTGACTCTCTTTCTGTTGTCTCTGATTTAATACAAAGTTGTTACATAATCCCTGCAATAAAAAGTTCCAATCTTCTGGTTAAAAGTACCCAAAGATCCATAAGATTGATTTCATATTTATTATGGAATCTTATGTCTTTTGGTTCATTAAACAGATGTCAATTAAATTCTTACATTGGTCTATCATTAATATCTGCATTAAAATGTAATAACAGAGAAAATCTGTATCAGTTTTAAGTCTTTTTATGACCCAACAATAACATACCATACACATATTTGTTGTGTGTCCACCTTACTACTTAATTAGATGGAGCACTCTGAATTAAATCAGGACATGAAGCACGGTCTTTCTTGGATCCTTTATTACACAACCTTCATGTGTTCTTTCTCCCCGGCCACTTTATGCCCCCGCCCCACTTCCGGTCTCATTTACATCCGGTTCAAAAGTCCTCCCCTTAAGACATAGTCACAAATCAAATATCAGTACATGACATCCCCCTTTTTCTTAGATTCAAACTTTGGTCTTAATAACCTTTCTTTTTTTTTTTTTTTTTTTTTTTTTTCTTTGAACATTCTTTCTTATCTTACTTTCTAACACTTATATTTTCTAACTGTCTCGCCCCTCGTTTACATGTCCACATACACATATAAACTGGCAACTTGAACCTTAACCCTCTTGAAGTTACCTCTTCAACTTAACCTATTATGATTTATTTCACCACAAAATCACGAAACCTCTCAGGTATCTTTTTAATCCTCTGCGATCTCCTTGATCTCTCTGGTCCCTGTGGGCCCTCTTGTGTTGGAGTGAAGGTGTCAGTTGTTGTGGGTGTCTCACCTTCTTCCTTTTTAGGTATAGTGTTTTGTTCGTGGTGTCCTTCTCGGGTCCCATTTGTCTCATATTTCTTCACGTGTGTCGTATTCCGTTGATAACGAGCTCCGGTTGGTGATTCAATAGTGACTTGGTTTCCAGTTCTGCTTACAACTTTGTGTGGTGTTGTATTGAATGGTGTTGTAAACTTGTCCACTTTGTCTTGTTGAACCAGCACGGTGTCTCCCGTGTCAACGTTTGAATACTCTGCCCCTCGTCGTTCATCGGCATAAATCTTTGATTTTCCTTTCTGTTCCGCATCTCTATCACGCACGTCCAACTCCGCTGTTTTCGCCTCACTGATGTTCGGTAACTTTCCTCTCATTTTGCGGTTGAACAGGAGTTCTGCTGGGCTTTTGCCCGTGGTTGGATGTTCAATGCTGCGATACACTGTTACATATTTTCTTAACTCTCGCTTCCAGTCAAGACCTGCCGCTTGTGCGATCCTGATTCTTTTCATCAGTGATGCATTTTGGCGTTCCACTTCCCCATTTGCTTGAGCCCATTTTGGTGTAGTTCTTATATGTTTAATTCCATTAGTCTCACAATATTTCCCGAACAGCTCAGATTTGAACTGTGGGCCGTTATCAGATTTGATGGTAACTGGTAGCCCATGTCTGCTAAATATACAGTCAATAGAGTCAATGACCTTTTCAGCAGTTGTAGATGACATCACCTCATACTCATAATATCGACTGTAGTAATCCACCAGTACGAGTATCGAGTGGTTTGAAGGTAGCGGTCCCAGTAAGTCTACCGCCACATCTCGCCAGGGCCCATCCGGTAAAAGTGTATTTCTCAGTGGCTCCGGTGGATCCGGTCTGGCTACTATTTGACATCCGTGACAAGCTTTACAGAATTTTTCTACAGCTTTGTCCATCCCTGGCCACCAAACTTTTGTTCTGAGATGCTGCTTGGTTCCAACGATTCCTAAATGTCCTTCATGAGCTAGTGACAGCGCTTGAGCTCTGAGGTTTTCTGGCAATATAATGCGAGTTCCCCGCAAGACTATGTAGCCAATGACACAGAGTTCATTTGCAATGGGCGCGTATGCTTTGCATTTTTCAAAGTGTCCATTGTCAATAGCTCTTCGCACTTCTGTTAATTCTGAGTCTGTAGCAGAGACTTCTTCAACCTCTCTTGTTGTGAGTGCTTTTGGAGTAGCATTAACTGCCACAAATCTCACATATTCCTCAGATTCATGCTTGTGTACCTCTTTTGACGTGGTATCAGAGAGCAGTCTTGACAATGAATCCGCAATGTTTTGTTTTCCCGCAATGTGTACTACTTTATAATCATATGGCTGCAGTCGTAGAACCCATCTTTCTATGCGTGCACAAGGTTTAGATCTCGGACTGTATATGACCTCTAAGGGCTTGTGGTCTGTGATGAGGTCAAACTTCCTGCCATATACATACGGATGTAGTCTCTCACATGCCCATACCAGTGCTAGAGCTTCTTTCTCTGTTTGAGAGTATCTTCGCTCACAGTCTGTTAGACTCCGACTTACATAGCACACTGGTACTTCTTCTCCATTCTGTGTTTGTATTAACACTGCGCCTAGGCCTACAGGGCTTGCATCTGCTATGACACGAGTTGGGGCTTCTTTGTCAAAATATGCTAGAGTACCTGCTCTAGCTAACTCAGCCTTTAGTCTTTCGAACACTTGCTTTTGTTCTGGCCCGAATGTAAACATCACTTCCTTTCGAGTTAAACGTCTAAGCGGCTCAGAGAGTGTAGCAAACTGTGGTATGAACCTACTACTGAAACCGACCAGTCCAAGAAAGCTTCTCACCTCAGTAGCATTCTTTGGTTCTCGGGCTTCCACCACAGCTCTCACTCTTTCTTCAGTTGGGCCGATGCCTTTCTGCGTAAGCAGTATTCCCATGAACACAAGTCTGTCCATGTTGAACTGACATTTCTCTGCGTTTAGTGTCAGGCCACAGTCAGAGAGTCTCTTCATCACAGCATGCAGGCGCTTGTCATGGGCTTCCTGGTCTGGTGCATGTATGATTACATCATCTGAAATGTTCTCAACTCCTTCAATACCAGCTAGTGCATTGGCGATCTCATGCTGATATTGCTCACTAGCTGATGAGACTCCAAATATCAGCCTTTTGTATCGGTATACCCCGTTATGCACTGCAAATGTAGTTATCTCTCTTGACTCCGGGGTAAGCTCTAGTTGATGATATCCCCACTTGAGATCGAGTTTGCTGAAGATTGCAGATCCGTTTAGTCCTTGCAAGATTTCATCCACCGTGGGTATGGGGTATCTTTCCCTGATTATTGCCTCATTTGCTTTTCTCATGTCTAAGCACATTCTGATATCTTTGTCACCTTTCTTTGGAAGCACCACTACAGGGTTTACCCAAGGTGTAGGTCCTTCCACACGTTCTATGATGTCCATGTCAATCAGTTCATTGATCTTTTTCTCCACTGCATCCCTCAAATGATAAGGTATGCGTCTCAGTGGCTGTGCTACTGGTTTCACGTTTGGATCAATGTACAGGCTGATCTGTTTGGTGTTTAGTTTCCCTACTCCTTTGAACACTTTTGGATACTTTTCTTTAAGAGTATGTTTTAAATCTGTGACAGCCGCCACATTTTCACCTATTTTCAACACTCCTAACTTTATGGCAGTCTTTTTCCCCAAGAGTGGTTCACCATTACCTCTAATCACAATGAATTCAGCCTCTTCAGTTCTGTCACCAATCTTGATTTCACATCTGAATGCACCTTTAACCGAGAGTGCCTGTGCTGATGAATATGCATATAAATTCCTCTGCTCTTTGGGTACATATGAATGACACTTTATCTTTTTAGCTTTTAGCTTTTCCCATATGTTTTCTCCCATCACATTACTTGTAGCTCCCGAGTCGACTAACATTTCCAACTCTATTCCCCCAACAGAAAAGGTAAGTTTCTCCGGTGAATTATCATCATTTACAACAAATGCATAATCATCCTGTTCAACAGCATTCACATTTTGTTTCCTTTGTCTCTTTGTACGACACATCTTCGAAAAGTGGTCCTTACCATTACACTTGTGGCATGTTTGTCCTCGTGCTGGGCATTTGGGATCTTTGCCCCTGTGGTCAGTATAACCACACCTGTAACACTGCCTGTCTGTCTTGGCATCATCTTTCATTTGTCCTCTTGGTCTGTGGTTCTTCTCTTTCTTTGCTGTAAAAATCCGGCTGACCGTGTTCTCTCCTTTCCTTTCCCCGGTACCGCTCATCGCCGCCATTTGCTCCTCCACTCGTTCGCAGTGAGAAGCCACCTCCAACGCGCGAGTCAGCGTTAAGCCTGGACCTTCCTCCAGCAGCTTTCTCCGTACATATTCAGAAGTGCATTTATTCAGGATAGCGTCCCTTATCTGGTTATCATTGTCACCTTGAAAGTCGCAGTCTTTTGCAGCTCGCCTCAAACGTGTACAAAATTGTTGCACAGTTTCTCCTGGTGTTTGGGATAATTTGTGAAAAGTTTGGCGTGCATATGCCGCATTCACCTGAGGAACAAAATAAGTGTTAAGTGCAGTCACCGCAGCGGCGTAATCCGCCGCTCCTCCCGTCCGAGGTAGAGTGGAGAAGACGTCCTGTACGTCCTGTCCAGCCAAGTGCAGTAGAAGAGCGCGTCTCCGCTGTTTGACAGCGTCCGTAGCATCATCAGCCAAAATAAGACCTTTCCCATCAGCAAACAACTCGAAGGATGTTAACCACCGCGTCCATCTCGGTCCGAGCGTTGCTGGATCAGTGTAGCAGGAGAACGGTTGAACACCTGACTTTTCCATGTTAGCCCACAAGTTTTCGCTAACCTCGTGCCGCCGCCGGGTCTACTTCTCCCAAAAACAAAATCTTGTTCGTGTCATCCTCGTCGCCATTGTTGTGTGTCCACCTTACTACTTAATTAGATGGAGCACTCTGAATTAAATCAGGACATGAAGCACGGTCTTTCTTGGATCCTTTATTACACAACCTTCATGTGTTCTTTCTCCCCGGCCACTTTATGCCCCCGCCCCACTTCCGGTCTCATTTACATCCGGTTCAAAAGTCCTCCCCTTAAGACATAGTCACAAATCAAATATCAGTACATGACAATATTGTACATCAAACTCTACAGCTACTCCTCCCTTTCAAAATGTCTAAACATGTGAAGTAGAAATCAGCCCTGTGTGGTGAACGTACGCTGTCCTCACAGCATGTAGCTACGTGTAGCTAGCCAGCTAACAAACAGCACGTAGCTACGTGTAGCTAGCCAGCTAACAAACAGCACGTAGCTGCGTGTAGCTAGCCAGCTAACAAACAGCACGTAGCTACGTGTAGCTAGCCAGCTAACAAACAGCACGTAGCTGCGTGTAGCTAGCCAGCTAACAAACAGCACGTAGCTACGTGTAGCTAGCCAGCTAACAAACAGCACGTAGCTGCTTGTAGCTAGCCAGCTAACAAACAGCACATAAGCTACGTGTAGCTTGCCCGCTAACAAACAACAAAAACAAAAACAAGAATCTTCACCCGAGGCTTGCTTTTCTTATCTGAAGATCTTTATAAATGCTTTATCACCATAGCTGCAATATACAGAAGAACAACAAATACGTTAGTAGCTAATATCGCAGCATCACGATAAGGGAGGATGAGAATCAGCTGCTGTTGTAGACAAGCTAAATATGGCACAACAAGTTGTTGTTTTACAGAGCAAATGTTTAAATGTAAGCATGCATGATAAGAAATACGTGATGTTAGTAACCTAAACTGTTTTTCATGTTTATGAGAGGGGGACACAGCATACATCGGTATCGGTTAATATCTCTATTGAAGATTAAGAGCCAGACATTATTGGTGCATCTGTAAAAATACAATATCAACCATTCCTACTTATTTTATCCCTTAATGAAGTTCAGACTTGTGTTAATAAACCCAAAACCTCCCACTGAAAAGGTTTGGTTGTATTTTGCTATTGTTTTTAGTTTATTATCTTGTTTTAAGATTACATATTTTGTTTTAAAGTTTTGTTTCTCTCATGTCTTTTTTTATTATTTCACCATTGTATAAGTAATCCATAGGTAGTGCATTATCAAACAAAACTAGTAAAACCTTTTTTCTACCAGTATGTAATAACAAAAAGTATTTCCTGAAGTACAAAAGGCAGACTTCCACAAAGAGAACAAGGAGGATTTTTGTGTTCAAAATCCTAGTTTGGGATTTAGGAGGATTTTGTTTGTTGACACATGCGCAGGCACCCACTGATGGAATGCATTATTGAAAGTGTTAGCTCTCGGTGCAGGGCTGCATCTGGGGCTTGACTGTTCCTGTGTAGCTTTAGATGTATCTTGGTAAAAGACCGGACTGCAAACTGTGACGGTTGACTGGGACTGACTGGGAAAACAGCCAAAACCCAGCGGAGTCCAGAACTCAGACAGGCCACTCTGTGCGTGTGTGTGTGTGTGTGTGTGTGTGTGTGTGTGTGTGTGTGTGTGTGTGTGTGTGTGCGTGTGCGTGTGCGTGTGTGTGTGTGTGTGTGTGTGTGTGTGTGTGTGTGTGTGCCACTAATACGGTCACTTCTTCCTTGCTAACGTATAAAATGCATTCATGATACAAAAGAGGTGGGATGTCCGCCTCCCACATGGTCTAAAATGATTTTGGCGTGCACTATGAGCGAGCTGCTGACATACACAAATGTGTGTGACGTGCTTTTTCTTCATGCAGGTCTGCACTGTGGCGCTTGCATGCACAGTCAATATGGACAAAAATCAAACATAAACCAACTTTTCTTCTAAGCAACACTGAAAACACTCAGTTTCAAGTCTGTATGATGAATATGCATGCCCCTCTATGCCGTCTCGTATGATCATACAGATGAATAATGGAGACGGACGAGTGGCGTCAGAAAGAGTGATTTACCATCAGAGTATATCCTATGCTTTATTACATCTTGTGCTGTGGCACAAGAATGAACGCTACACTAGGAATGGTAATAAATGATTATGTATGCAACTAATTAATCTGATGAATATTTATACCCACTTAAACACATTGTAATGGACTGATTAAGTAGTCCAACACTGTGAGTTTGAATTAGTGCAGTTTTTGAATAATGACAGGCTAACTTTCCATCTCAGTGCTAATGTTCTCCTCTTTAAATGGGAAGCCTTTTCCTCTCACTTTCCCCAGCCAGCTCTTTTCCCTCCCTTGCTAATTCAAAGCAGTGAAGCTACATTAGAATGGAACATGGCAATTATCACCTTTTATCTTGGGTGGGCGCGCTTGCTCGCTCTTACCTTCCCTCTGTTGCTGGGGCATGATGGTTGGTTGCTGGGGGAACGCTTGGCTGATTGGCGCATAGGCGGCAGGGTAGGCTGCTGTTGCAAAGGGAGAACCAGAGTGGAATTCTTCACATCTCCATTTTCATATTCGACACAACAAAACTCAAATCATTATTCCATTGTTCGTTTGCGTCCTCTAGACGTTGCGTAAATAAATTGCATCATGACTGGGAGCCAGGGCTCATTTGGCTGGTGGATCACTACACAGAGAGAATGGCAACGGGGGGAGTGGAACGCAGTTCAACCGAGCAGGCATAAAAAGAAAGAAAGGGAGATTCACTCCATCTAAATGAGAGCTGATGTCAGACACAAAGCAATGGTCTGTGTCATCGCTCTTGTAGGGCTACGACAGATGAGAACCCTCAGCTCTCAGTGTACTTTTAGAATTAGAGTGTTTTGTGTGGCTGTAAATTCAAGCCAGCTGAAAATTATTTTGTAATCCCAACGTAAAGCAGCCTAATCGAGGAGGAAATTGGTTGGTCATATGGCCATGTCTACCTGTCATGGTGGCAAACCCAAAAAGGGAGAGGGAGGAGGCAAAGGGACAGATGGAGGAAGTGAGAGAGTGGAGGAGGTAGAAGAGACGGATCACCTGCGTAGTGCTGGACGCCAGCATAAGCCTGCTGGAGAGGGTCAGTCACCGTTGGACTCTGTGCTGCAGAGAGCAAAAAGAGGCAGAGACAGAAGAGTGATGATAAAAGAAGTGGAAGGACAAGGGCCATGGCAGCAATGGAAGGAAAGTTGCAGAAATGTTGTTCAACAGCATGACAGACAGTGGCATAACTGTGGTGATCCATCAGGAGAAGAGCTCACACAGGGAGAGGGAGAAATTTGGGTTGTCATATCTTTGAGTTCTTCAAAATGCCTGGTCGCCCCAGATGTTTGCATCAAATATTAACAAGGTGCCAAACAAACCACTTTGTAGTTCATTATGATTGCAGCTGCCTTTGCATAATGCAGAGCTAGGGAGCGAGTGTCTGTCAGTTCTGCAGGAATCAGCTGCAGACAACATTAAGACGCTGTGGACAGCCTGAGACACATCAAATTAACCATAATTGACGGATGGATGAACTGATGGATCCATCATGATACTGAGGGCGGGCTTCTCAGAAGTCTGTCAGAAACGTTGTTGATAGAGCCTGAAGTCTTAAACGAGTTTGTTATTAAAAAAGTCATTACAACACAACATTAAAAAGGCCCGCGCCAACTTTCAAACATTATTAAATGACATCATTCAATTAGTCACTAATAGGATGTCGCTTCAGAATTGTGGACATTTATGGGATGTTTCTGCATTCAGACCAAGTAGCACATTCTAACACTCATGGATCAATGTCAGTGCAAGCAGCCAACGCTGCCAGGGCCAAAGCAGCAGCCCGACACCAGGTGCTGCACAAATATCTCATGTTTCTTTCATAGAAACAGGGAACGTCTCACCTGGGTAAGGATGAATCCCGTTGGTGTAGATGGGCTCAGATGTGGGCTGGCCGTTGCTTTGAGGTGGGAGGGCGCTGAATCCATTGACCCCAATGGGGGTGGCTATGCTGGGCACGGCTGTGGCAGAAATGCCTGGGGGTGTGCTGGTGCCTGCAAATAGATGCAGTAACGATGGGAAGTGCAGGGCACAGAGGTACAAACTCTAAATGTATAGTCTTTCTGGACTGAAATGTGTATCTATCATATGCACTGCCTTACAACATGATAGGTGCAAATGTCTACCCTCTGACTCACTAAGGAGGTATGCTGCATTTGGACCGGATCAGCCTGGTCTGGGGGGGACGATTAAAAAGGGGGTCCATCAAGATAACGCATGTGTTGCAGGTGGAGCCGAGGCAAAATAATGGTGTTCTTTTATTAATTTATTTATTTGTTGAACAATATGACAATACAACTTGTGCATTTATGAAATGAGCATCACAGCAAAACAGGCTTGATTCAGGTGCTGCCAGGTGTGTGCTGTTATAGGTGTATGACCCAATCGGCACCTGACTGACAGCTCTTGAGCGTGCTGTGTGTGGTAGAACAACTCCATGCTTCTTAGCCTTCAACAACTCCTGGTGGAGGAATGGGATGCCACTCCACAGCAAAATGAGACCAGATGGTGAGCTGCAGAAGGACCCAGGCTGGTATGGCTGTGCATGGATCTTCCACATACTACTGAGGCCCCGACAGTAAAGTAAAGAGTGAAAATGGCCCATACAGTGTCCTCAGATGTCAGACGTCAAACCATAGAAAAGAAAACATCAGGTTTTGTTCAGAAACGCACAGGATGTCGGATTAAATAGCATCAGACAAAAAGTTGGTCAGAAAAAGTCTTTTAGTCAGAAGTCTGACGGGTTTTTGAATGAAACCTGATGTTTTTTTTTTGTTGCTTTTTTTCTCTCTATGGTCTGAGACCTGAATATGTCCTATACTGTGGGCCGTACATTTCTGTTTTCTGTTTCCTTTTGACCGTGAGAAAGTGCAGCTCTCCACCAAGCACGCCGAAATAAGAGTGAATACCAGCAAGAGAATCTGGCCGGTGAACACGGCGCTTTGAGAAGCCACCAAAACCTTTAGCTGTGTCGCTCGTCCCACCCGTCTACAATCCCTACCAGCTGCATCTCGGCACGGCTGCTGGAACATTCAACTGTTTATTTCCAACAACAGTTATTACAACAAAATAATAATTTACTAACAACAACACAAACATTTCCCTGTGTGTTGTGGCGTTTTGATAATCCTTATTTTAAGGAAAACATTTCAGACTTTTAGATTTGTGGTTTAAAGTGTCAGTTTGGATACGTGAGCAAAGATAAACCATTCCACTGAGGGCAGGATCTTTGCTGTGTTTCAGCATCGTGTGGTGAGACTCTAAGGCTGTCACCTTGCCAGTGGCCTTTTGTGCTGAAGGGTTTTTATTCTTTTTCGTATCCAGGTGAAGGGCATTTAAGTCACGTAGGATTATGTTTGATAGGTATTAGCAGGAATGTGTAGGCCTTGTGGATTACAAATGCCAGGTACAGCGTCAAGCCACTTTATATAATGCATTTGCAATGGCCTTGCCTTCAGGCAGCCTGCCTACTTAGTGTCAAGCCATCAAAGCTCCTCGTGACAAGGGCCAAAAAGATAGTTCAGACTGGGGTCTTGGATTATCTCACACAAATCTTTGCTGTTATATTGTATAAGCCAAGGACTCTGCATCCAAAGTTATTGGATTGGCTGTGTTCCCAGAAAACACACGCCGTCAGAGTCATGGAGGGGGGGGGGGGGGGGGGGGGGGCAGTGGCAGACAGAGGAGGAATGAGAGAGATAATGTGTGTGCAGGAAAAAAGGTAGAAACTGTAACGTGGATGCCAACGAGTGTGTGGGAGCGCCGTACGTCTCAACGTCGTGCTTCCTTTCATTCAGTGCTGCCGGCGTCAGCTTTTACACAGAGCCAGTATACAAAGTAAACTCACAAACACATATATTTACTTCTTTTAAACTTGTTCAGTGATAAACATTCTGTGTCAGCGGTGAGAAAGGCCTTCACAAGTACCACCTGGAGAGGTTCTGTGTCAGTGCTTACCTGAGGACGGTGTCATGGGAGTAGCCACCAGTCCGTTGACATTGAAAGCTGCCATTTGCTGCATTTGCGCGGCAGCGATGGCTGCCATAGGGTTCAGGTAAGACCCTTGTGTCGCTGCCATCAGGGCCGCTTGCTGTTGCATCATCTGCTGTAGGATTAAAGAGCAGTGGGGGGAGAGGCGAATGGCGGGAGGGATGAAGGAGAGGACAGAAAAGCGAAGAAGGGTGAAATAGCTGCAGGATCAGAGCATGTTTACTCTCACAGCTTTGTTTGCTTAGCCTCCGCCTCGTTTTGAACAGAGGGGTCTGTGTTGCCCTGCAGCTTTGTTTCCAAGCTCTGGGACCGCACTGGCCTCTCGCACACTATATCGATGCAAGATGACGACCGTACAGTGAAATGAGCTGAAGCTGCTGGAGTCTGTGTATATCTGCATGTGCAGTAAAAGTGTATGAGGGGTAAAAATGGGAAATGGCGGTGGCAGAGTTTAAGTGCGAGTAGGCGATTCTCACCTGTCAGGGTGAGTTGTTAGCGGCTGTGTGAGTGTAAAATCTCACCCACTCCTATCTCAGGCTGTGACTTTCATGTGTGAATATGAAACAGGGGTGGGGGGGCTGACAGAGAAGGGCGTAAAGGGTGAACGGGTGTGCTCTTGGAAACAGCATGCATCTATTTTCCAGTATCTAAGAAATAAAAGAGATGTGCATGGATGACATGTAAAGGAGGCAGGCTTAGGCTAGCAGTTTAGTCGTATCGCTGCACGTGTACAAGGAGCAGCTTCCCAGGAGAAATCACACAGATGTGTTCATTACAAACAAACAAGTGCATCATCAACTAATCACACAAACAAATGGAGAAACGAGGTTCCGACTTTTGTAACATCGAATCATGGGAATTCACTGGGGGTGTCGCATGCCCAGTGGGGGAGAGAGAATCATTTCAAACCTCAGATCACAACAGGTTTTCTTTTTCCTTAAAGCTCACCGTCTCCTCTCCTGCCGGGCTGAGACTTACAGCATGAGAGTAGGCGCCATAGGCCCCAAACTGGATGGTCATTGGACTGAAGATGCCGAGCTGGCCCGCCATCTGGTGCATCCTGCGCAGGGTGCGTTCCTTATCAGTGTCTGCAAATTTGACCACCAGGCTGGACGAGGCACCCTGCAGAGACACGTGTAGTTCACAAGGTTAGAGGAATATACCATCATCACGTGTGAAGACTGTTTTCAGATAGGACATCCTTTAGCTGTAAAACGGTGGTCTGTTACGTGATTTCTGAGGCGAGAACCGAAAGCGCGTGGTGGCTTTACGTAATGCATGTTTAACACACTGCATCTGCTGCTCGGTAGGCCTACCAGCTGGTGAAAACATCTTTGCTCTGATTTGTTGTAGAGTTTAAAAAAAACAAAACCAAGCAACTCTACATGACAATACCTTCAAAAGGAGTTCTGTTTACCACGTCAACAACAACAGCTCGTGTGAAATGCCTTCATCTTATGAAGATTTCACGAGTCATCTCCATAACGTCAAATGTCATAATCACAAGCTCGAGCGTTCCAATTAAGGAAGCATCTCAGACTTTTTGTTTTTCAGCTGAAGTTGCAGAAAACTAAATTCCTGTTTAGGAAGAGTTTTCATGCGTTTGATGGACCTAATCTGGTAGAAACGTAGAACATAGGTAATCAGAGGATCTCTGCTCATCCGTCCATCCTTATTCTCTTTTCCAGGGTCAACAGTACCTCACTCTAAAGGCTGCACGGTGGGATGAGAGAGGGCAAAATGAGACATGCCTCCCGTCTCCATTCCGTGATCTCAGGCATTCTCAGGCTATAGGGGATAAATCTGGTAACTGCATTGATATCCAGGCCTGCCCCAGGGTCTCCTCTGAGATGGACAAGCCTGGAAAACCTCCCGAAGAAACTGACCAAGCCCCCCCCCCCCCCCCCCCCCCAACCCCCCCACCCAACCTGATACTGAATCAACCTCAACTCACACCTTTCAACGAAGAGGAGAAGCAAATCTCTTCTAAACTCAATACCCCCCCCCCCCCCCCCCCCCCCCCGGGGGGATGGTGCGCCTAACCTAATCTCAAAGTCTAAACCCAACAACAATACAGAGATACTTATTAAAGGCGTGGTTTACTAAAAAAAAACATTTTTAATGATTCTTTCTGATTCTAACGGGTCACTCTGTTTCATGCAGGCTGAACATGAAGATAGTCTCCTACACCTATCTTCTGCAGTAGCGTCTGATAGAAAACAGACGGTGAAACTCTAGGATTAGAAAATCCTGACAGATCTACGTCACACTGTCAATAACATTCATGGACTCACACCCCTGGACTCACCGCGGGGAAGGCTGTTGTTGGTTTAGCGTCCAGGAAACAGCAGAGAACGTCTCTGCTAGTAGAAGCTACCCATTAGCATTAGCTGCTCCACCACACAGCAGAACTCCTCCAGGCTTGTGTTATTTGTGGAGATAAATCATCAATGTTGCAGAACAAACAGAGTCAGTGGTAGAGTCGTGTTGCAGTTAGCCAATCAGAGGATAGATGTCCACGTATCAGGAAGTAAGTCTCCAAATCCTGTCATCTGAAGCTCAGCTCTGATGTGAGTCACTTCTAGTTCCTGAAACTGATGCACCAGAGCTTTGTTTCTCCAGATTATGACTTACAAAGCATTCATTCCTACTAGAGACTACTGCATATTTATTGATTTACAACACATTCTCACACTTGAAGCGGCTAAAACTGACGCGGGGTGACCAAGTGTTTGTTTCTGAAGCGTTGGGGCTTCCGCCAGGGCGTCGCTTTCTGACACCCACGGTAAAACGGAGATTTGACTGAATTATGACCTTTATCCTCTTGAAATGTAACCTTCCCCTCACCTCCACCCTAATCTTAACCCACTTGCACCTGTGAAACTGTGTTTCTAGTTGTAACGTCCATCTCAGACACGGTTAACCAGGAGTTTAGAATGAGAAACTGGTTCAAGGTTAGGGTGGGGGTGGGGGTGAGGGGAAGGTCAAATAGCAAGAAGTTAGAGGTTAAATGTCAGTGAAATGTTCGTTTTCCCACTGGCTTCGGAAACCGATGCTCTGGCACAGCGCGTCGCCCCCCCCGACGCGTCGGGAGTGAACTGCCAGGGTGACCAAGCGTCGGAAACAATCGCTTGGTCACCCTTCGTCCATTTTAGCCGCTTCGGGTGTTGAATGTGTTGTGATTTAACAAGTGCCTCAAGCATTTAAGCCACTTCTATCTAGAACCTTCTTGTTTTGTTCCAAATCATTGGTTGGACCATGGACATACCACCAAAATGGAAAAACTGCTTTATGGATTACGGCAATCCTTGTACTACCAGATGTGTGTGATATGCACATAATTGAAGACTAATAATTATTAATTTAGCTAAAGGTCAGTGATTACAAATTTACCTCTCACACCGTTTGATCGCCCTGATCTTACTGCACAACTTCAACCCCCACCTACCTAAAAGGCTCCAAAAAATCCAAGTATAAAGAAAAACAACAACATTTCTTTACTCAACAGCTGATCATGTTTTGAACTGGTTGAACAACGAGCATTACAGATTTCAGACCTACTATTCTACAGTCAAAAAGACAATAGAATTAAGATGCACCTCTCATGACTGCAGTCATTTAGCTGTCGGCTTTAACGGAAGCGACTAGCGAATGTTCTTTGCTTTTCTGAACTTCCCAGCTCCACTGTAAACATTGGGAGTGAACCGTGATCCTAACCAGATCCCACAGGAGGGCCGGTCCCCCCAACGGTTAAGCTCCACTGAATATAGCGCTGGGTAATTAGGTCTGACAAAAGCCTTCGGCGTGTGGAGGGCAACATATTGACTAATGGCTCTTCCTTATGGCAGATATAGTTCCGTATTGATGTCCGTGCTCCTGAGTTTGCATCCAATTAAATCATTTGAAAGACAGAGACCAGGATCAGTTCCTCGTGTGACATCCAGACAAAGAGAGGGAGGGGAGGGGAAGTGTCTATGCGTGAGTGAAAGGCAGACGCAGAAAGAACAAGCGAGGACGAGAGGGCTGCCAGCCACAGAAAGCAGACACAGACACTGTCAAGAGGACCAGGCTTCTATTTAATTACTGGAGGTGCATGCTGGGAAAGAGCATGGAGTACCAACAGGACAGAAGGACAGAAACAGCCAGGGGGCAGTCAGGATGTGATTAGTAGGATCATAAAAGCAAAGACGCAGGGAGAGCAAGGCTCCATAATCACAACTTGGATTCGCAAAAAGCCTCATCCTGACAGGGTCAGTGCAAATTCTGGCTTTGATTGAAATTTCCATTTTTATTATAATTTTTTTTATTTTTTTGATGTGTAGAAATTAGAGCTGTTGGAGAACTGCGGGGGACATGTGGACAGAGGGGCTGAGTCATGTGAGTGATGCTGCAAGCACCTGTTTCCTAAGAAAAAAAAAAACAAAATTTGGCTCAAATCTGAACTGTTCTGCACGGCAAAGTTTGAGACTGAGTCACATTTCATACGAGACACACTTGGAACGAGAGCTTCCTGCAGAAAGCAGAGGCAGACACATTCTCTCGCTCAAAACTCTCGATTTCAGTCAAGTTGTACTATTCTGGCCACTCTAAAAGACTCATTAAATATCTCCTACAAGGGCTTGATTCGTGTTTGAAGTGAAACTATCAGAGCAGAAATGGCAGCAAGGAGTCGTGCGAACTACCACTGGACAATTTATCTGCGTTTTGCTTTGGGTTGTCAGCTGACTGTAATTATGGGAGAGTCAAGCTTATGAACTATAGCTGTCTATTGTTGCTAAAGGAGCAGAAATCAGTGAAAATAATCAACACGACGACACCCACATGCTAGGGAGCATAAGTGTCCTCCCCTTCCAGTCGGCTCGTGGGTCCCTGAAACGGACTCTTGTATGTTTTTATCGTATCTGTTTGTCTTCGGTGGAAAGTTGACTGTGTCTGTTGCTGCTGCTTCTGGGCCAGATCGTACACAAGAATGAGTTTTTAACAGACTCATCAGGTTAAAAAAGGTTAAATAAAAGAAAAATATATAATCATTTGCTCTTTCTTCCAGGGACCCATGGTCCGGAAGTAGACGGGCGTGACTCCCTAGGCTAACGACTCATCAGAGGGTAGGGAGGAGGGGGATTCATAAGTAGTTTCAGCTACAGCTTTAAGCTTGGATCTCCCGTATTCCAGTCAGAACTGATAAAGCTCCTCAGACGAGAAGCAAAACGTCTTAAAAAAACCCAAAGAAGTCCAGTTGCCTTCATTTGAACCCTTTTGGAAAAACACAACTATTGACTCTAAGCATCACTTTTCCTGCCCTGGGTCTAAAGAGGAAAAGTCCCATCAGCTGGCACACACACCGATGTTTGTGCGACATTTGTTCTCCGCTGTTGACCCATCCCCTGGGGGAGCGGTGAGCTGCAGACACGGCCGCGCTCGGGAACCATTTGGTGGTTTAACCCCCCAATCCAACCTCTTAATGCTGAGTGTCAAGCAGGGAGGCATTGGGTCCCATTCTTCTAAGTCTTTGGTACGACCAGACCTGGAATCAAACCCTGACCTCCCAGACCCAGGGCGGACACTCTACCGCTAGGGCACTGAGCTGGATTCATGCGTGATAGAGATAACTGCAAGTTACCATCTGAAAAACAATCTCGCTCCTGTTCAGAGTTTGAGTTTCAACAACCAAAGAACGTTAGTGTCTCATGAGGTCTATTACTACTGAGGGATGTTTTGGCTTTAAGTACCTGTGGTAAAAAGTCTGGAGTGATGGAGAACATCAGCACAGACCCCGGGGACAGTGGATCAGAACCAGCCAGCACCCCACCTCAGGCCAGAGAAGACCCATCTGCTGCTTTTCCCTCGGTGCCATTTTAATTAGTTACACCAATATTTGGATATGTCTGTGTTAACGGCATGAATTTTCTCATTCTGATTTAATTTCATTCCACCTCCTGAGCGTTTTATTTGTTATTTTTCCTATTTTCTCTCAACGTTTTGGGTGTAGATGAGGGGACTGGACTAAGACTTAATGAGGTTGGCACTGAACAGACGTGTTCTTCCAGCATTGTTGCTAAACTGCCCACAGCACAAAGGCCTGGCGTCCAGAATCGTTCACTTCCTGCTTTCCGTACCTGCAC